CGCCACAACATTGGCCTTGCCCGGCTTGTATTCAAAATGATAGGTGAACTCCGCTAGGAAGTCCTGCCATCAAGCTTGCTTGGGGCTGAGCTTCTTCTGTGTTTGGAAGTAACTGGTGGCAACATTATCCGTCTTGATCACAAATTGTGCCCCGAGTAAGTAGTGCCTCCAAGTACGTAGACAATGGATGACCACCGTTATCTCTTTCTCCTGCACCGTATAGCGCCGCTCGGTGTCATTAAGCTTGCGGCTCTCATAAGCTATGGGGTGTTCCTCTTGTATCAACACGCCCCCAATAGCAAAGTCCGATGCATCCGTGTGCACCTCATATGGTTTGGAGTGGTCGGGCAAGCTAAGTACCTGCTCCTCTATAACTGCCCTCTTCAAGTCATCAAATGCCCCCAGGCATGACTCCGTCCAACTCCAAACACGCGCCTTCTTGAGAAAGTCTGTCAATGGGGCTGCTCTCGCCGAGTAACCCTTGATAAAGCGATGGTAATAGTTGACAAGCCTAAGAAATGAACGTAACTCTGTCACCTTAGTGGGCGGCTCCCACTCTTGATTAGCCTTCACCTTTGCTTCATCCATCATCAGCTGACCATCCCGTATCTTATGCCCTTGGAACAACACCTCCTCTTGGGCAAATGAGCATTTCTCAGTCTTCACATATAGGTCATTCTCCCTTAGGACTTGGAAGACCACCCTTAAGTGCTGCACGTGATCCTCTAGAGTGGTGTTCGTCACACATGTAGTCGTAGGCTCATCCCCGTCCGCTATCCGCACCTGGTAGTACCCCGAGCGCAAGTCTAGCTTAGTGAAGTAGCGTGTTCCACCAAGCTGATCAAAAAGATCGGCAATGAGAGGAATGGGGTACTTGTTTTTTATAGTTACCTTATTTAGCGCCCGGTAGTCAATGCACATACGCAAGGACCCGTCCTTCTTCCTCTGGAACAGCACCGGTACGCCATATGGGGCCTTCGAGGGTCGAATATAGCCCGCATCTAACAACTCCTTGAGTTGCCTCCGCAACTCCTTCAACTCTGGGGGTACCATCCGGTAGGGCACCAAAGCAGGGGGTTTAGAACCCAATTCCAGCTCAATCTTATGATACACCTCCCTCCTAGATGGAAGCTTCTTGGGCAGCTCCTTAGGCATCACGTCCGTGTACTCGTCTAGCACGGCTCATATCTCCTTAGGCACCTCTTCTTGTGGGGAAGGGACTAGCTCATTATCGGGTGTCTCCATCAACATAGCAAGATAGCTAGTCTCCCCCTTCCTGAAGCCCTTCTTGAACTGCATAGCTGACAAGGCTTGGGCTTCCAACTTGGTGCCTCGCTCTACTGGCACCATGCATGTTGTGTTGCCTTCCATAATACACATAGTGTTAGCAAAAAGAATAGGGAAAGCTCTAACCTTGTCTAAGAACTTTAACCCAAGGACTAGTTTGAAGTCGTCCATGGGTACCACCGATAGATCTATGTGGCCACCCCACTCGCCAATGCATGCTTGGACCCCATGTGCCATGCCATGTATAGCCTTTGCCGCCGAGTTAACTGCCTTCATAGAGCCCCCTTCTTTGCTATACTTGAGGCCCAACCTCTTGGCCTCGTCAAAGCTTACAAAGTTGTGGGATGCACCCGTGTCCACCAAAGCAGGCATGGGTGTCCCATTGATGCTCGCCTCCACGAACATTAGCCCCTTAGCCGCCGCCTTAGGGACTTCAGTTTTAGCCTTGATGGCATTAAGGATTTGCAGTGAACCTATCTGCGCCTCCTGTTGTTGTTGTTGCTTCTCGTAGTGGCTTGTCATAGCATTGAAGGTCTTCCTCTTAGGGCAATCTCTCACCTAATGTGGTCCGTCACATATAAAGCAAGAACCCTTAGGCTTGGGTGCTCTTTCTTTGTTCTTCCTTCCCTCTTTGCCACCATGGCCACCACTTGCTTACGGGACCAATCCTTGTGTGTTACAGCGCCCTTGTCTCCCCCACCTTTGCTAGCATACCGGCCCTTGTCCTTGTCCTTGTCTTTATCCTTTGGCTTGGACGAGGGTTCCTTCTTGGAGCTGAAATCAATAAAGGACTCCGCTTCTGCAATAGCCGTGACAAGGTCTTGCACTGCGCCGTCTCAACTCCGTCTTAGCCCACAACTGCAAGCCATCCATGAAGAAGAAAAGAGAGTCCTTGTCGGATAGATCCGGGATCTCAAGAGTTAGGTTAGTGAATTCCTTCACATAGTCCCGAATCGACCCAACCTGTTTTAGCCTTCGGAGTCTGCCTCTGGCTTCATCCTCGGCATTCTCGTGATAGATTTGCTTCTTAATTTCCCTTGTGAAATCAGCCAAAGTATCAATAGAGACCGTACCTTTGCCCATATTGCCATACTTCTTCCTCCACCATAGCATGGCATGGTCTGTGAGGTAGTGAGTCACCATGCGTATCTTGATGGTCTCATCCGTCATGTCCGTAGCCTCAAAGTATTATTCCATACTGAATAGGAAGTTCTCCAACTCCTTCGCTACCTAGTTCCCACAACAACACTTAGGCTTAGGAATATCGACCAGGGGTGCTACTACCCCCGTAGTAGCCGTGCCGGACGCCACCGCCAGTTTGCACAATGCCTAGTCCACTCGCATTTCCTCCATTTGCTCGCGGAAGGTGCCAAGCTCCTGATCAACATAGCCACGTAGGGTGGCAAACTCGCCCAACATAAGTTCTCGAAGTGCTTGGTGTTCCTGCCGAAAGTCACCACTTAGGGCATTGAGTGACCCTTTGACAGCATTCTGGACCTCAGTGTCCTCCTACTCCAGCCCATCCATGCGCTGGTGAGCATCCTCAAACTGCTCCAACACGTTGGCTATAGACCCCTCCATGTTTGCCATACGTGCCTCTAAGCTTGCCATGATGTCCTTCGACCTAGCCCTCGTCCTTACTCCGACTGGAGGGAGATTTGTTTCCCTTCCACGTTGCTCCTCCTCTTGGGTGCCAGTCACGTCTGATAGCTCCACCATAACTTCCTCCACACAAGGTGTGACGCCTCACGACCTTAGCTTTGATACCAACTGTCACGGATTTGAACTTTTCCAAGCTCCCGTACGGCCTTAGACACTTTCAAGCCCCCTTGAAATGCTAAGTCAGCCTACCCGAGTAAGCTAGCTTAGTGAAGACTAAGGCTAGACAAGTGTTTTGCTTACTTGGGTGTGTAGGAAGAGGTTAGGCAAGTGAGCAAGAGAGTTTGGGAATGTATAGAACTTGTATTGCTTGAGAGGAGAGATTACAACTTGGTTGCTTGGTGAGGAGCAAATGAACTCCCACCTCCTATTTATAGACCTTTGGCCTTACAAGAACATTCTAGATGTGTATAAATGTGTGGCCTAGAATAAGTGTCTAGAATCCTCCAAAGATATATCTATACAATTCTAGAACTATCTACAATGCACAAGATAAGTCTAGAAAATTCTAGAGAATTCTATACAATTCTAGACAAGTCTAGAAAAGGCTAAACAACTCCACACTAATCTAGAGAATTCTGGAAAATTCCATACTCGTGTAGAGAAGTCTAGAAAGCTCCGATCCATGCAGGCTCCATGTCATCGTCTGTTGGGCGTCTGTGTGGCGCCTGCGTGGCGTAGCCTCTTGGTTGCGGGGCGTGACACTTGGCTAATGTGGTAACTGTATATAACCTGAGAAATGATGAATTTTCCACTCCCATAGCCACGCAGCACTTTACTATGTATGAATGATTCTTATAGTTCATTGAGTTTTTTTTTCTTCTTTTTTAAGATAAGTATTTGACAAAATCTCAAGGCACTGTTTCATTGAGTTTTTTCTTTTTTTTTAAGATAAGTATTTGACAAAATCTCAAGGCACTGTTTGGGGAAACTTTCAGTTTCTAAAATTCCTTCCACTGAATCGACTTTGAAGAATGCATTTCGATAAAAGGAATTTAAAACAAAAAAGTTCCGGTAAACAAGTTTAACCCAATCTACATGTTTTATATATATATATATATATATATATTTTTTTTTTCTTGACTATATGATAAAAGTTGAAAGAGATAGAAAAAGAAAAGGAAATAATAAAACGAAAGAGAGAGATGGCAGCAAAAATATTTCATTTTTATTCTTATTTATAACTATAAATCACTTTAACAACAAAAATGGTAGCCTTCAAAAAAGAAAAAAGAAAAAAATTATATATATATATATATATATATATATATATATATATATATATTGAGAGAAAGAAAAATGATTAGAATTCTACATAAGATTGAATTTTGGATGAAAATTCATAAATCTTAAAACTCTTCATACTTTGAAGTCAAATAGGAGTTAATAGTATTTTTTCATGCAACTCTCAATCCTTTTGCTCTTCTTTGTTGAATCATTTTTCAACAATATTTTTTTCAATAAAGTTTTGTGAAATTTTGGTCAGCATTATTTTTTTATTTTTTGGGTAGAGAACGAAGAAAGAAGATGATACACAAATAGAAAGATAAAAGTTTGCAATTAAATTCATAAATGGAAATAGGTTAAACAATGTACAGTATAGGAATTTTATATTTATTACTTAAAAAAATGTGTAACTTGCGAGTAGTCGATTAGGAAACATGTTTTATTGGCTTTGGTCAATCGGACTTCTAAACCACTTTTTAAAAGTCCGTTTTCATAAATTTTACCAAACGCTCTTTACTATTAGCAAAAGACTTTTTGAGTTTAGAAGCCCGTTTTGAGGCTACAAAAAGCCCAGCCAAACAGGCCCCAAGTGTTTGAGATATTACCTCACAGTTATCCCTGTTGAAAAGATCAAAGCCAACACCAGAAGTACTGGGTATGTCATTCAAAGTTGCTGACTGCATTTTACATGGTCATCTTACACCCCAACAATGGAACTTTTACCAATCTGAAAGCTGTCTCCTAAGAATGCTTTTCTGCAAACAAAGAGAGCAAAGAGCAGTAAACAAGCACACAATGGACAACCCAGTTCACCATTTACGCTAATAGAAACTGAAACATAGTTTACATTGATCTAAAAAATGCAATATTCCTGGATACATTAACTTAAAATGAGCTGCTAAATATAGCCAGAAGAAAGGAAAATTAGGTCACTGGTGCTTGGATCCGTGAAGCAGTGATGTTTAAAATACAAACAGGTCAATCTCTCCCCCCTGCTATTCTTCGAGGCTCTAGCACCACAATGTTGCCAAGCACAGCTGCTTGCATCCATGTTACAGAATGTTTACAGGATAAATAAATCAGTCCTCTGGAGCCCATATCTTCACTGTTTTGTCATTTCCGAGTGCACCAGATGCAATCATGTTCTCACTGGGGTGACATGAAACTGATATGACAGTATCAGTGTGACCTTCCAATTTTTGAACTACTTTTCTGGTCTGGAGTCCCCACAAGTATACACAATTATCCTCAGAACCACTAACAATATACTTTCCATTCGTTATGGAAAATGCCGATGAAATGCAGTACTTTGAATTAACATGGCCAGTGTAAGTCTTCAGAAATTTACCAGTGGAAATGTTCCAAAGCCTCTGCAGACACAGATTACAAATCAAGATAAGATGGAAGATTATGATGACAGCAAGTAGAAGAAAGAGAAAAGATTAAAATAAAATTCAGATTTGTTACATTCATTGTTCCTTTGTAGTATGCATGACAGATGCAACAGATGTGCATTTATACAGACACAGGGAATGATGGCTATCTAAGATCTAAGAAAAAGATATATATGTCTCACCACATTAAAGTGTAATGCTAAATAGCATACAAGGACAACAGCATAACACCCAAGCCCGCCAGTTGCCTTGAGACAATCTTAATTCTCATGGCACCTACAACTCATTTTAAGGTGCATACCAGCTATTAGAAGGATCTAACGTGTTCTGCCCCCCCAAAAAAAACTTCTCTAGGTCTAATTGGGCATAGCATGTACTCTGGGCGTATCAGAGCCTCGAATCACAGTACTAGATTTCTCACTTTATTTATTTTTTAATCACCGAGGATGCATCCAAACCCCAAATGGGCCAAATCTAGGCACAAATTGATTCTGATGAGGAAAAAATACATATGCTCATTATTGATTTAAAAAATATTACCAGTTGATCCTATTTTTAATTTGATTATTGCATACCTCGCTAAAATTCCTTAGCCTTGCTCAAGAGAGAGAATGGTATCAGAGTCTAGTTAAAAAGTTTAACACTTGGCTCCAAATTCTCTCAATTTCCCACCCCATTTCTTGCAACAATCCCATCAAACCCAAGTAAACAAGATGCAGAATGCACCAATTAACCAATCCATACCATATTCTATATTTGGATTACAAATTAAATATTGGAGTCAGGTGTCCGCTTGGATCCTAATTCTGCCACCCATAAGATAAAATAATGTACAAGTAATAGTTTATCTTACTCTGATTGATACTTAAGGGTGTTTCAACCGAATATATGAAGGTTGCATTGAATCCCTTTCCTATTCATTGCTGAAAAGAAATAGAGAGAAGAAGCTACAGCCACCAATAAGTTGATTGCCTATTCTTTGAGCTCCTTTCCTATTATTCATTTTTGTTTCTCTGGGAGAAATATGCAAGGGCTTTTTTTTTTTCCCTCTCCAGCTTACCTCCTTCTTATCCTTCTCTCTCTTGTCGTTTTCTTGCTTTTTTCAGGGTCCAATTCTACTTCCATGTTTAGATTCAAACAATCTAGGGTTTTACATTTGATTACCCCCAATATGTATTTTTTATATTAGAGATTAAACGTTGAACTTGACTACTCTAGGAGTTTCTTATTTCACTAGCTCTCAGTTAGAGTATAAATTTTGAAATAAAAGTGAAAACTGGGCAATAGTTAACACCTTTTTCTTATTATTTAATGAAGAAGATAGATACGTGTGCGCGCGCGCAGGAGAGAGAGAGAGGGGGGGGGGGGGGGGGGGGGTGGTGGAGGAATAGAGTTGATGGCCAATTTTTCAAATTTGCATATTATTGTTGAACTTTTTAGTTAGGATTTTACATCATATCCAGGGTTCTAATCCTATCATGTTTCAAATAGGGATATATTGTATCCAATGGATATGATTTCCTATACTATTTGGGCATTTCGTACACCATATGCGCATCCCATCCAACATCCAAATGAGCCCAAGTTTAACGGTGAAATTTTACAAAACACCTTTTCCATTCTTTCCACTTGCCCCATACACAAACACCAAAATAGAGGGAGGGGGAAGAAAGGAAAAAAAAATTAAAAATCCTTATTTTCCTCAGGGTACTATTCATCCTTCATTACTTTGCTCTAGCTTTTCATCCCTGCGGGTATATACAAATGCCAAAAAGTATCCTAACAAGTTAATATACAACACTCTCCACACCTTGTAATGTGACATCTCCTAGAAAAACGGTACTAGGAACATTGAGCATCTTTCATCAAATGCTTCTTTGCACCTTTTTGCACTAGACGGTGGCTCTGCTAGTTTTACACAACACTAGGTTCAATTGGGTGCTCATGTCAGCTTCAGATATAAAACATCTATATATCACAAAAAATAATTGTGTTTAATCTTTTTGGGTTGCAAGGACATCTCTGTTTATCAAAATTGATTATCCACCTTCTTCCTCTAGCAAGTTCATTCTATCTCTAAAGTCTAAACCAAAAAATATCAATATACGAAGTAATATATCAAGTAAACACCTGTAGATTCTAGTCTCCTGAGATTTACTCAAACGGTAGATTAACTCAAATTCGGCTCCACATCACATAAGGGGTATAAATATTTGAATTCTACCAAGGTTGAAAGTAAAATTTTGAACTCAATCAAAAAGAAACTGGAGCCAAATTGACAAAAGATACCTACACTGAGAGGCATAAAAAAGAAAAAGAAAAAAAGACAGCATCATCAGTTTCCATAGTTAGGTGATGCGACCTATGTAGAGTAACAAATTAGGTGTTATACATATTTCTAGAATAGCAACAACATGTTACTCATCAAAACAAGGCCTTTCTACAAAATCTACCAAAAAAGAACCGCTTAAAAAACCAAACAATAATAATAATAATAATAATAATAATAATAATAATAAAATTGACTTAACAAGGTTAAAGTTTGAAGCTTGTATACCGAAATTTGAAGGACAAGGATGACAAAACTCACCAATGTATTATCTAAAGTCCCGACGAGAATAAACTTGCCGTTGGGCGAGAATTTCACAAAGCTCACGGGTGGATTCTCGTCGTCTATCAACGTCTTCATACAATGCCCGGTGGACGCGTCCCAAATCCGGCACAACCCGTCGTAACTACTCGACACGATCAAAGTCCCTTCCCGATTGAAATTGACTGCCGTCACAGGGTCCGAATGCGCGGGAAGCACCTTCAAGCACTTGCCGGTCTTCACATCCCAAATCCTAACCGTCTCATCGAACGAGCCGGACACGATCATGTTGGACTGAGGGTTGTAATTGACGCAGAAGACATAATTGGTGTGTCCCGTTAGGGTTTTGACGAGAGAACCGGTGGCGACGTCCCAGAGGCGGACGGTCTTGTCGTCGGAAGCGGTGGCGAGGTAGCGAGTGTCGGAGGAGAATGCGATATCGGAGATCCCCTGGTCGTGGCCTTGGAGTTCTTGGAGTGGTAGTCCATCGCGGGCGGCCCAAATGCGGGCGGTCTTGTCGGCGGAGGAGCTTGCGAGAAGTTTGCCGTCTTCGGAGAATTTGACACTTGAGATTGCGCGTTTGTGGCCGGTTAGGGTTTGTTTGAGCTTGTAGGGTTTCATCGACTCCGCTGGTTCTGTTGTCGCCATTCTTTGATGAGGGAGAGAGTTTGGGGTATTTGGTCGAATCTGTAGGGGTTTAACAAGTTGCAATCCCGGTTATATACGGAATGTCTCTCTCCCTCTCCCTCTCTATATACTAGTATTTATACATCCGCTTCGAACCTCAGTTGGATTTTGTGACAAAGTACGGTATTCCGAATGCAGTTTGACCGATTTATACCTTAACAGGGTTTGGTAACAGACGAAAACAGGAAGTAAGACGTGGTAAATATATATATATATATATATGTATATTGAAAAAATTAAATTTTCAGCAAATATTTGATTAGCATGAAAGATATTGAAGAAAGTGAAAAGGTATACCCTTTAATAGCCAAAAAAAAAAAGTTAACAACAAAATATAATAGTTTATCTGAATGATTTTTATTTTTATTAAATAAGATAAAAAGTCTAAATAAGTTACATTAAATAAGCCTATATGGACGGACCTAGAGATAGATTTAGGCTTTTATACTCTCTTTTTTTCAAAAATTATATATAAATACATTTTATTTTAGAAAAAAAAAAAAAAAAACCATAATTATAAGTTCGCCTAACATTTTTAAGAAAGCAAAATTTTTCTGTAATGTTTTTTTGGAAAAAAATAATATAAATAAATGTTTTTTTTTCCTTTATAATGTTTTTTTGGAAAAAAATAATATAAATAAATGTTTTTTTTTTCCTTTATAATGTTTTTTTTTTCTTCCTAATATTTTCATTTCTTCCTAATATTTTCATAGTTATATCTAATGGTTTCATTTTAGTGTTTTAAAAATAAATAAAGAAATAAAAATTTATCTAACTTTTTATTAGAAAATTTTTAGACATTTTTTAGAGTTCTGATAGTAGAAAATAAAAAATAAAAAAATTTCCCATAATTTTTTCCTAAGAAAACACAAGAAAATTTTACTTTCTCAAAGAAAATATATGAAATTTCACTTGTACCCCTTTTATGTAAGTTTCACTATTCAAATAAAAAAATGAAATATTTTCACAATTTTCATGAAAAACTTCCATGCTAATCAATTCCTTTCATTCACTTCAACTTTCCAATCCAAGGATATAATTACGAACTCTTGCAAGAACAGAACGCGTTGGTGGGACCAAAAAAATAAGGGGAGTTTAGTTTCTACACCGAGCTCCTGCATGCACGCATTAATTATACATTTGAAAAATAATAGCAAGTTTCTATGTACAAATTTTCTCAGCTGTTTCTAATTTACAACAAGCCTTCCTTTTATTGAGTTGCATATTTTTTCCCAGAAAACCGATTGACACAGAGCACCTGCTTCACGAGTTCTTTATGGATGTGTAAGCAGAAACATGTATGTCACAGCACTCTGCATCCCATGAAAAGTCCTCTCTCATACCATCCACAATCTTTCTATTCCACTGCGATGGGTTGTTCTTCTACAAACAAACACGACAGTGGATATCCATAAATCTTAGTTCCCTAATACTAATTTAACTAAGATTTTATAATAATAATAATAATAATAATAAAATCAATGTAAAAAAAAATGTTGATATTTTATGGCTGTGCAGAAGATACACACAATTTCATCGATCGCTTGGCTTAAAGACACATTCCCAAAAGTATTGCTGATGTGCTGTGAGAATCTGGTGCTCTCAAAGTCGTAATCTATGCTACCATGCCTGATGAGATATGTCGCACGTAGAGATATCAACACCTCTCCTTTCCATGAGCAAGAAGAAAAATACATTTAAGCTAATTTAGTTTAGTTTTTGAAATTCTCCATTGAGTTACCTGAATTGGTTGTCCGTAAGAATTGTTGCAACTGGAGCAGCTCCATACCTTAAAGCCTTCAGCTACAGTTTTTCAAATTAAGCAAAAAAAAAAAAAAACAATATTATCATAATAATAATGATGATGACAATAACAACAACAATAATGTAAGCAAAAATAATAATAAATTGTGTGTGGTGAAAAAAAGTCAAACAAAAATAAGGGCCGAGGAATTATAAAGATGATAGCGAGGATTTTATAACTGCCCAAAGAAGAAATTAGTTCCAAATAACGATAATGTGCTGCAGATGAGCTGCTTATTTTGGTAGAATATTTCTAAGCTGTACTTACCGGAACTTGTAGCACTGGATCATCAAATGATTGGCACAAGATAATGTCAGATCCTGCAAAGATTAAATGTGATAAAGCTTCGTCGTATTTGTTTAAAAATCTCACATTATCATCCTGCGGAGCACAAGATATACCTTATCAGTTGAACATCAATTGGAACAATTCTCATGAAACAAATTGTTCTCTGGCATCATTAATAAATGTTCAGGCCATTGTTTCCAGTCAAATTAAAATCAAAGAGAGGAACAACTCTGACAGATCATCACTAGTAAAATTTGAACATTAACAAAATACGACCTAATGCATAGCCCATCTATTTTGGTAGATTTGTCACCGAACCACCTTCCATCCAAAAGATTTGTACAGCAGTGGTTTATTTCAGGCTTGATGTATGGTAATCACAAAACTATATTCTTTGGATTTCAAAAGTGTGATTTATTCCAGCTCAATTAAGATGCTGACTGACCTATCAGTATTCTCTAAAAATTAGTACCTATGAATCCTCTGGAAAGGCACCTTTGCATTAGGAAATAATACCATGTCCAATATAATAAGAAAAGTAATACACAGTAGAAAGTTACAAGAACAATAAAGCAATTTTAAGACATTTAGAAGCATACTAGCTTTTTTAAATGGGTAAAAAAGATTAATACCTCATCACTTGTAATGTATAAAAAACTGATACAAGCAGGATTTATTTTAAAGCACGTCAAAAAATTATATGGCAACCCAATTAACAAAAGAAACCCAGGCATCCATTTCCAAAATTGAAAAAGGTAAAAAGAAAAATAAATAAATTGATGGTACATGGCATACACCTAAAGATTTGGGGAGGTCAAAAGCACACATTTGCCCATGCCTCACCTCGTGGAGTAGGCCTAGTGAGGCTTCTGCTTAGAATATTGCTTCATGACCACCTTGCCCTGAGGTGGGCCTCAGAGGAAGCTTTTTAAAATCTTGATTAGCAGGTACATACGATGTTTGGTAAAAGGTTCCCTACAACATTTAGAACTAACGACAATGCCTAGGATATGTTATATGAGTATAATCATCCTTTTTACTCTTCTAATTAACAAGCAAGAAAGTAGACTTTGCTTGTACCTGGAGTTCCTCCTGAAAAGCTTCCAGTGCCCTGTTTATGCCTGGAACTTTGCTAACCCCCATGAAGACGAACTGCAGAAAAATTACTAGTCAAATCACATTCATTGAAATAGTTAGGAGACTGCTGGAGTTGGGGCTAAAGTCCTTGCCTGGTGGGTCGTTCTTTGAATCATTAGTCAGTTTGACCTTAGCAAGTAAAGGACTAGCTAGCCAGAAAGGAGTCTTCACTGAGTTGGCACACAAAACCCCCCTATACTAACAAATTGGTGCAAAAACCCCCACTAAAATTAAATAGGTCCCTCAACTAACAAAACCCATCATTTTACCCCCAAACCCGTGACCGACCCGTTAATTGGACCGTGAGATGACAAATTTGACCTTATTATTTAATATTATATTAAAACTTACAAATTGTTTTTTTAAGCGACAATTTTACCCTTTCATTAATCATGACACGGCGTCGTTTGTCAGCAAATTGTTTCCTTCTCTCTTTGATTTCATGCACAGACTTATATACATATATCCATATATAGATATATATATATATATATACACCCTCCGGTATATTAGCAATGAAGTTACTGAAAGTGGGTAAAGCTCTGCCTCCTACATAAGCTTCTGCATCAACTTTTAGATGCTCAATTTTAACTTCAATTGTGGGCAAATCAAGTCCAACTATGAGAAATCCCATACATACATATACACACACTTCCATATTTCACCTGTAATGGCCTTTCACAACAGCACCATGTGCTCCAATCTCTCGGTTTTATTGACAGCTAACTGAACCCCAAAAGGATTGTGTTGACTCAAAATTAACTCATCATATTTTCATCCCAACCATTCGACACCGTAATAATCATGGGGCTTCTTGTTCATAAGTGGTGATCATAGCCGAGCCAGGAAATTGAATGGGTTCTTTGTTTACAAGTCATATTTAAAGAAATCCCAAATGGGGTTTTCATTAAAATCGCCAACAACAGGCAATTTCCAGGCCAAACTCTTTCCCACCGTCCGTGCACCTCTCCTCTGTCATCTCACTGGTTGTCAGATTCCAAAAGCTCCATCTCCACCGATCCGCCGGCATCGGATTCATTGATCGTAACTAGTTGAGAAACGAGAATCCATGTGTGGTGGCCACGGACTAGTTGTTGATTGATTTTGGGTTTGGGTTTTGGTGGCCGCCGCCGGCATAAACGAACCAATGGAGCATGAAGACCCGGAAAAGAGCTTCAACATTTAATTGAAGAAGAGGAGTCGGGTATTTTTGTAATTTTACAATAATGATTATTAGTTTTTAATTTAACATTAAATCATAAGGATAATTTTTTCTTCACACAAAAATGGAGTAACATGATAACATTTTTTAGTTCAGGGGGTGGGTTATTTAATTTTAGTGGGGTTTTTTTGCACCAATTTGATAGTATAGGGAGGTTTTGTGATTTTACCCCTAATTTTATTAAAAGTTTTTAGTGGCTGATTGGCTCACCACTTCTCCCTTACTCTTAAAAACCTGATCATGATTATCTCATTTACTTCTAAAGTAACCTTACTACATCAATGATCAAGGATATCAGTGGAATTTCGCTACCAAACCAAGCTTTCTACAAAAAGGAGCAATTCAGCTCTGATAGAAGTAACAACCTGAACGCTCCTCCTGGAAGCAATCCAAACAAGTGTCTTCAGGTTCTCCAGGTCAACATCTGACACTTCCGAATAAATGCACGCAACCTGATAAAAAATCATTTTATTAGAATATGCTAAAAACATGCTAGTACATTGCAGAGAAAAAATAATGGAAATTAGGTTATGACACATGTAGTAGAGATCAAAAAAGATAACAGTCCCCTATAAATCACTTACAAGAATAAGAGAAGCATGCTCAGACAACCCCAGGTGCTGCTGCAATGCAACTTTACAAGCAGCTTTCCCCTTCATGTCATCTGCGCTATAGCTTTGTGGAAGAAATTTGTCTATGGAAGGATCCCAGACAGAGTTGTCAAATCCATAAGGAGCAATGAGCAACTTGTTCCTAACATCCAAATGCAAACATCAAAAAATTGAAGGATAAGAAAGTTCCATCACTCTTCTAGATAGGCTACATAGAACAATGACAAATAAAAAACAATAACCGAACCTTTTACGTGTTTTTATTTTCCCAGTAAAAAAAACCTTTTACATGTTGCACCAAGAGAAATCTGTTCTATTATAGTTAGCAATAACAAGAAAGAGGGTGGGAAGACTAGCAGAAAGACATCATGGGACATTCAATTATCCAAATTGAGGATGGGATAAATTACTACTTACTTGTGGAGAGCTAAGGTGGGTTCCAACCCATGACTCAAACCATGAATAATTTGGCCCTTCGAATGCATGGATGACACTTTTATGACTTTATTGGAGTAAACAATTCCACCCTGCATATTTGTAAAAGGAAAGAAAAAAAGATCAAAAGATGCTGGTAAAAAGCTGAAAGAAGCTGGAGCTTCCATACTCTAGAATTATCAGAACATTTTTTTAGGGGTAACTAGGATATCAAAACATAAAGATATACAGATCAATGGATGGAAAAAGGTTTGGAGATCTGGCCTTGTAGCAATGCACTCACAGAAATGAATGCTGGGTTTTGAGGAAGGCAAATTCTTGCTTTGCGGAATCAGCCAAAGCCTGCAAGGCACAGCAGCTTGTTGGGCCCCACACAAAAATGGGGGCCACCAATCTGATTTCTTGTCAGCTTGGGCGATTTAGCCCAAGCAGCACAGTCCTTTGAGGAAAAGATGCTAATACATAGGAAGGATGTGAGAAATAGAGCAGGCCCCTGGTATGGCATATACCAGTGGGAAGTAAGATGGCCTTTAAATCCTATGATTCATGTTGGATCATAAAACAAAAAGTTTTAATTATAACTCCTTTTTGAAAATAATCTAATGAAATTCTTTGAACCATTGGATCTACAAATTGCATCTCAAATTTTATGCATACGACTTGAATTGAAAACAAGTCCTAATGAACACATATATCTAATGTGAACATGATCAAATTTAAGTTTCTTATGCTCCTCCTCTTCAAGGAAACATATATCTAATGATTCCATAGAGTGATGTCATATATATCATCAATGACAAAAATAGATTGACCTAGCCTTCTCAATTGAAATATATAAAAAAATAAAGGACTTTGGCCTAAATTATGACAAAAAGAAGTCTGCATAGGAAAAAACCCGTACCTTCAAAATGTTGACAAGATGTGTCTTAGAGTTATCTTGAAAACGATCAGGACGGTGAAGTCTAGAAGGATCAAGTCCACATAGCGCTAGCTTATCAGGTTGCTCGAGACACTAGAATAAATTTTATGAAGTGTTTTCATGACAATAGTTTGCAAGGACCCATCAAAAGAATGTATAACTTCGGAAAAGAGTACGACAGGAACTTGCCTGAGAATTAAAGCCATGACATGTTAACAGTATTCTAGCACTTCCAAGTCCCTGTATATTTAAGCAGGAACATTTTTTTATGAGAATGTGTCACACAAGTAATATTTTAGAGGTTAAAATGATAAACAAGTGCAACATCATGCAATGTGAACATACAGAATGCTTAAACAGCATAGGGACAAAGGAGCAGCATGCTCTAAGAGGCACACCCAATTTAGTGACAATACTAAAACTACGTTATAAACCCCTAACAGCCTTCTACAATGGGACTAGCCACTGGATACAAACTCTGCTTAGAGGCCAATGTCCCCCTATAGAGTTCTTCCGAATCATTCAAAATGAAATAGGCCTTCAACAACTACCAATGTCGAAGCAACAGATATTGACTCGTCAGAGGAAAAAACAGACTGATTTTCTTCCTCTATTTGCAATGAAAAACTGACTGCAGTGCGATGATCAAATTCTATTCAAGAAACAAAAGAGGACAAGCTTCATATAACACAACTGCTGCATGTCAATTCATAATATCGTTATAATGAAAATAAAAAGTAGCTTTACGTTGTACCTGTTTAACAAAAACATCCCAGAAAAGTGGCCCAACAATAGCAGTTTCCCAGTTGTGTATGTGTAAAACATCAGGCTGCTTTCCAGATTTTACAATATAATCCAATGACGCGCGAGAGAAATAAGTAAATCTGTCAGCATCAAGTAGATAATCAATTGAAAGCAAATAGTTAATAATCAATAGCAGCTAAAATCATCAGAACATATATGACATTTTTTTTTTTTTTTTTTGGTTGGGGTGGGGGGAGGTCCAAAGGCGAAGTGGGGGTGGAAACTAGGGTAGCCCTCTCCTATATTCATAACCCCGCTGCCCCAATACCCAAAAGAAATAATGGAAGAGAGATTTGATCCATAAGTCCCGTGTAGTAATAGAGTTTAAAAATAATAGTTGCTGTAGGGAAAAGAAGATTGGCGCTGATAGAGAGTGAATAAGAACAAAGAACAATTTTTTTTTTTAGTAAATGGGCAAATCCAGTGTACCAAAGTTAGATTGGGGTTAAACAGATCTATTACTTGACCGTTGTCTAGATTTCAGTTGCTCCACACCCCCCCCCCCCCACCCACCCCCCCCCCCCCCCCCCCCCCCCCCACAAAAAGGGGTCAAGATGAAATTTATCTTACTCTTTAAAATAACAGTCAGCTAGGAAATTGGAATTGATTAGTGGAAATTCAAGGAAATCAGAAAATTTGAAATGTGATGGAAATTTCAAATCAAAATGATAAGAGTCAATGTCGACATGCCATTCACCAAAGAATCAGCTTTATGTTACTATACATATTTTTTTTGACAAAAGGAAAGAATTAATGAAGAACAAAAACCAAAAAGAAAAATAAATGGAAAAGATAGGCAAAGTCCAACAATCCAAAGAAGAAAATAGCTTTTCTTACTACTGTATTTTACTAAAAATTCAAGGACAATTCTAAAATTAATGGGATAAACATAAACTTTAGACTTTGACATGAAAGAGCCGAGTAACAGAACCCTAATGCAGCACGGATTGTTTTCTAGGCATCAGTTGTTGGTGTGCATAGCATTACTTCCCAAAAAAATATCAGTTTATAAATGCTCTCTCCTTAATGAATTGACACGATAAGCTTCTCATTTACTCTTTACCCAAGCTACATAATGTTAATGAAGATTTTTGGTAAGAATTCTTTTGGATCATTGAAAGGGTTGGAGCTATCTTCTCAGGAATTTTCTCAGTGCCTTTAGAATCCTTTCTCATCACCCTGGACAACATATTTTGGAATTTCACACTCAAAAATTTTCTTCCTCCAACAACATATTTAACCACTGATAGAAATATTACGTGACAAGGCTCTGATGTAGAGTATGTGGAAGGCCTAAAATAGATCTAGAGGGGGCAAAGTGAATTAGCAACCATACATCCAACAAAATTGCATTAATAATTTATAGAGAAGAACAAGAACTTGAGATTTTTAAAAACATATGATTTCGGACAAATTTGAGAACATGGAGTTCTGTCAACAAAAAGACAAAGACAAGAAACAGATTAATAAGGGGGGGAAAAGATGATAAAAATCCAGAAAAGAATGCTGTCAAAAGCACCTAGAAACTCTTTCTTTATTTTATATGAAAAAGCTAAAAACATCACTGACCGTTCAAAGTCGTTTGAGTAGCCATATACTCTCTCATGGTTGAAAAATGATGAATAATAAATAGGTTGTATAAAAGTAACTCCAATGCCATAGACGACACTGTATATCAAGAACACGAAGTAAGATTAGTACAAAGGAGTAAATAGTAAGAGAAGATGCAGAATGCAGTTCCCAGATGACTATGCTAATTTCATATTCCTTTAATAATAATGGCAGAAATAGATAGTTAATCATGATAATCAGCATAACTGTACATCATACAACAAGCAACCAAACTTACCCAGTCCAAACTCTATTGGCATGCAATTGACCATTAAAAAATGAGAAGAACTCTGCTTCAATTTCTCGAAGCCCTTGAACCTTATCCAAGTTAAGGCTTGCATACCTGCTCACAAGGTGATGAATTCCTTTAAGCCTACAAATCAAAATTTTATCTTCCCAATCTAATTATAATTAAAAACAAAAGAGATTGATGGAACAGAAAACGTTTAACAAAATTCTTCTGTACAGGAAATGGCAAGGTAGCCATAAATATTTGGAAGACTAGTCAAGGCATCTAGGCGAGGCCTAGGTAATTCACCCTTCCAAGGCAAGGATTGCTCTCACAATGCTAATATTGTACATTTTCTTTAATCATGAAGTTAAAATGCACAATTTAGTTCTAACATTTATAAAAAAAAAACTGCCTATTGAGGGTAAAAGTAATCATTCAGTGTCTATTGCAAGATACAACATATATGTACACCAGATTTGAAAATATATACAAACAATGCATAATGGTCACCGAAAATTATGAATCTGAATGAAATATAGCCAAAGGGTTCGCCTAGAAATTCCAAATAAAGAAAGGTCAAAATCATCAAATAATTCTAGACCTAAAAAAATCTATTATAATATGTCTAACAAGGAGATGTAAATATGCTGGCTAGTAGCCTTGAGTCCTTGACTAAACAGGAATTCTGGTACTCCCGCCAGGAAATATATTAAAATGTTTATAAAATAACTCATCATCTTAATGTTTAATATCTTATTCTATTCACTTACCAATGACTACTTGCCCATGGTCACACGAAAGTGTAATGGCTGACATATATACTATTATATCCATCCCTTTTGGTCTATTTGATATGGTTTAGTAAGTCTCTTCAGAAATATGGCCGATTTATACTGTGGAGAAGTTTTGATTGACAAAATAATTGAAGAAAGAGATTGAAGAATAACTGAATGCATGAGAAAAATACAATGAGGTGCTGAACACATGGATAGTGCATAGAATCTAGGATAACATCATGACAGTTTCTATATAAGCATGATAAAATGAGGATTTGCTTTCCAATTGCTAAAAAAAATTGGTAAGAATTTCGAGAAAGAATTTATACTTTGGTAAAATAACCTCCACCAGATTTCCCTTTCTTTGTAGTGCACGAGATAAGCCTGTCACATATGAAGCCAAAGATCCAACAGAAACAACTGGTGCCATTTCAGTACAAATGTGGACAATGTGAAAAGCCTTCCTGAAATGAAAAGAATTAAGATTATGTTACAGCACAGAGAATAAAAAATAAAATTTAAAAAAAAAAAAAAAAGAAGAAGAAGAAAAATAAAGCATCATGGATGTGAGTTTTCTTGTTGGTACAAAAAAAATTGTGACAGAAAGAGAAGAATATTTGAAGACTTGGAGTTCTCCAATACACGGAAGAGTACCATATCCATAAGAAATACATCTACATAAAGCACAACTTTTGTGTGACAATGTTATAACCATATCAAGATTGTTGCATAATATTTCCATTAATTACTTTGGTAATGTCGTGGTGCCAATTGTTATCGTGAGGCAAAATATGTACACTACTGTTCAATCACCTTATACAGTTATGGCTACAGTTCAGTTAGTCTCCAGCACACTGGCTGTTATGCTTGGCTAAAAGATTGTCAACAAAGTATACACACAAAGAGAGAGGGAACGCATCTGCTAATGTGCAAAGAAAAAGTTTTAAATACAGGGATAAATTTCCAGTAAGATATACACTAGGCCACCTCTCAAACATCATCCTTCGGATTCTATGATAAAATTAGTTGCAATGTGTAGTAAAAAGTTTTACTGTTTGCATTTCTCTGAGAAGTTCCGGAGTTTGGCCAAAAGTTCAAAATCACTTTTAGGCAGGATGTAAGAGAAATCATCAGCTACACTAACTTTTGAATCCATGACCAGCCTTCTTAAATCAGATGCTTCCCCAGTGCCAATCACGCCTGTAAGGATCATTGAGTCTATCCTAAGCAGCAACTCCCAGCTGACTGATAGCTTATCTGATTTAGGTTTAAAACCAATAAAAGAAGATGTTAGCTTCAGATGTATGCTCTTCACTTGGAATTTATATAGAATCAAGAGAATAAAGAAGAAAATGAGCACCAAAATTTTCCCTAGGATTTTCAAGTGCAAATATAAAGAATACTGTTATGTCTGGAAGGTACTATTGATGGTATAAGCTCATTAGCTCACGATGTTCACGATGTCTCACAGAGTTGCAGACACTATTGATGGTATAAGCTCATTAGCTCACGATGTTCGCGAGGTCTCACAGAGTTGCAGATGTGTAAGTAAGTGAACTCTACAAATTTGCACATACATTTTCAGATTCTATATTTCTTAGGAACAATCATCTCACTCAGTCAAAGATAAATATATTAGGCAATATTGTACCTATATCTCATGCCGACATGCATCATCCAACTCTTGAAACATATATGATAGTTTATATTGCAATCACGGGACCTCAATGAAGTACACATAAACTAATGCATGTGCAATCGAAATGTTAAATGTGCCAAAAATATGTTAGACTGCATGGTGATATTGCATGGTCATTGTGAAACTTATCCTGATGGAAAATTAAGAAAAATGGATGTGCACATGTTTTCCATATGAAATTTGCATACTGCATAAGCAAAAAATATGGTGTACCATTGGGGAATCAAAAAAGGGTAAATTAATGCCCAAATTACCACAAGGTGATTTGACAGTATGACCAACTAGGACATTCAGCCACACTCAAAAATCACATGAAATTTCACTAAGGGAGTAAAGACCCATCGAGCAAAATAACTGGACTGCCAATTATGAACAGTCTCGAAATATATGTGAGGATTGATATGGACCTGGTATTAGAGATAAAGGGTTTGAGCCTTATCAAAAATTGACGATAGAAAGTGAAAAAACCCTCTAATGAAGCACAATCCAGTCAATGTTGTGTAATTTTCTAAAGTCAGATCCTGTGATTTCATCCCAGACATTCTCCTTTCCATTCTATGCAACTTTTAACTTGTTCTTATTTGAGTGTCAAATGGAAGAGGCCAAGTCAAAATACAGTGTTTCCATTGATGCTAGAGCTTATGTGTGTGTAACAAGCAACAGCGATTTTCCACCACCTAAACCAAGCAAACATCATGTTTCATTCAATTGTATGCTGCTTGACATCTTACTCAACTCTCAACAAACTCTCTTTTATGCATGCATACATCTACAAGCATGAAGCATGTAATATCCTATGCAACACTAAAAATGTTGGAGAGAATAAGAGTCTTGCATTTCTTTTGTACCTTCAATTGCGTTTAGGAGAAAACCTAAGCAGATGAAATTTCTCCCCACCAAGAGAGTTTGAAGAACTCGGAATATACAATTGGAAATGCAGATTACAGACAGATGAGCAATAAAAAAAATTGGAGCAATAATTCAATCCCTTAACCATCAATTAAAAGCCATCTGCCCCGATTCTGGATAATTTAATAATTTATGAAGCTCTGATACTTCACTAAAGGACGAGAGTTTCTTTAAAACACTAGAGAAAAGAAAGCAGCCCTAAAAGGTTTGAAACTATTATTGTATTTCTTTTATATTCCAATTTCTTGCTCTGACCCCAATGCTAATAACCATGGTTTGCTTCAGCAATTGATTCTATGAATTAATGGAATAAACCAATCCAAGGTACAAAGTTGTTTTAGAGTGCCCTACAGTTGGAATGAATTCAGTGAACAAGCAGTATATAACTATGGTTGTTATCATGCTATAAATGAGATGTTGTGATTGATGAATCATGACAAAGCAGAAAATCAAACAAGAAATAAGGAATGGAAACAATTAAACAAAACGAAAAACCAAACTCAACACTGAACACAGAGATTTAAGGTGATTCATCCTACATCCACGGGCGAAGACAACGAAGAGATTTCACTATGTGAAAAAGAAAAGAGATGTACAAGTCTCTCAAACCCTAAAACCCAATAACCCTTTTGTCTTTCCCTCTTTCGGAATTTTCACTATTTAGCCTAAACAATACAAGCCAACACTATTTAGCCTAAGAACCGGATCAAAACCGTCCAATACAAAACGGTCAACAGATTTTTGCCTCATCGGTTCGGAACTCGGTCTCACAGCGCCCCAAACATTGAACTCGGACCACAAGTCAACATGAGATATTCATCCCATAAGATGAAGACACAAAAGTGAAGAAATGGGATCTGATGTATCAAGATCCAAAATCAGACCGCTCATAGTTTTATCCACACCAGAGACTACAATTTTAGAGCAATTACCTTTTCCAAAGTTTGCCTGATCTTTTAGCTCAAGTTGTTCTATTCTATCAAGCAACAATTTGTTTTCTCCCTTCATCTTATCCAGCTCCTCCAAAGCCATGATGCGTTGCTTGTTTAAGTACAGAATATCTGAATGTTGATTACTAAAAGCATCAGACACATGATAACTGAAATTTACAATGCACAATTACACCAAAATACATAAAATGTTCAATCTAGAACACCAATTACAAAAAATAAAATAGTCACACAAGAACTTACTCTGCTGAGCCTCCCTGAAGAGTCGCCAGATGTCATGTTTCTTTTCTGTTTTTCTATCCATAGAGTGCAGCAGTTCCTATAAAATAACAACAAAATCCTGTGTTAGCTGGAAGGATAATAGGAAATCAGTACATATCTGAGCCATATCCACTTTGTCATGACCCTTAACCTAGAAATAAAATAAATTAATAAGAACAAGTCCCTTAGTGAGTTGCAAATATACATAATAATTAAAAAGAGAAGAAAGATACCCACTCCATTTGTGAAGGTCCTCTAGATAAGCTGCTTCCCTCCCCATTCTTCCTGCAAATGATGTCAAACTACTTAAACAAAGTAAAATATTGCAGCCTAATTTGTTATGTGAGATACTAGCAGGAGAAGCTAACTAGAAGTGTTGTTCCTTAAGGAACTAACAGCATCAAAACACAATCAGGGATGTAAAACTTCCAGCTTCATGTCTTCTTTCATATATCCGTAAATTGTTTTGCCAAGAAAATGTTGAAAGAAACAGATTTACTTCTACGAGGATCTTTTCGGTAGGCATAAAGGTAGTAAACTGAAACAAGGAAAACATAAGGCTCTTTGGCAACTTTGGATCTTAAAGCTTGGTATAAGATTGTTCGTTTATGCAGCAGGTGTGGTAAAACAAGCTCAATAGGTAGAACAAATGGACTGATATTTGAAGATCTCTGATATCTGTTAAGCACAGCAAAGACTGGAATCTAAATATATCATTTAAAAGCACGAACCAAAAAGTGTGTGTATATATATATATATACCATAAATGTAAGCAGTATGTTTTAGATTGCAGTTAAAAAAATTGTGCTTTTAATAATATGATTGGCTATAAGCCTGGATGATCTAAAATCAATTAATGATTAAATGCACACATAATGCAATAACAATATCCTAATGCGGGAGAATGAGCATCTCTACAGTGAAGTTTAAAGGAAATGTTTGACATGTAATTTTACACAAAATTTACATCTAGAATGATGCAACAGTGACCCTTTTTTTATTTATTAAGAAGCACATTGATAGTCGTTTTTGTTTTGAAATACATGGGAGTCAAATGAATCACATTGTTTTTTTTATGAAAACTATGCTTAGAAATTCTCTTTGTGTAGCATTACATGAGTTAAAATTAAACCTATATCCAACATCAAAAAAACCATGAACCACCTGCTATACACGCAGAAAGACAATCAGATTAAATTGAATTGCAAACAATAAACAAAGCACATAAGGAAACAATTTTTACGTGGTTCAACAAACACCACCTGTCAATGATTGAGAAATTATAATGTACTATAGATTTTGAATATGTAATAACCCTCACCCTACCTAGACACAATATTGTCCGCTTTTGGCTCCCCCGGACCAGAAACTTCCCAAGGGGTCACCCATCTTGGTACTACTCCAGGTTGAGCACGCTTAACCTTAGAGTTCTAGTAGGTTCACAACCATCATGTCTTTAAAACGCGTTGTGTCATAGAAGGGTGTTGAATCTACATATAGTACTTCCCATTTTCACACCCAGGTGATATGGGATTGTGAACCTGTAACTCGCCCAGTGTGGTAGCACACTGGTGCTACCTGCACAAGCTCACACACACCCGCCCACAAGGTCATCACAATCACCCCCCCCCCCCCCCTTTGGGTTCCAGCTGGGTTAGGCTCTGATACCACTAGTAACAACCTTCACCCTATCTAAACACAATATTGTCCGCTTTTGGCTCCCCCGAAGTAGAAACTTCCGAGGGGGTCACCCACTCTGGTACTACTCCAGGTTAAGTACGCTTCACCTAGGAGTTTTGGTAAGTTCACGGCCATCACGGCTTTTAAACGCGTTGTGTCATAGAAGGGTGTTGAATCTACATATAGTACTTCCCCTTTTCACACCCAGGCAATGTGGGATTGTGCACCTATAGCTCATCTAATGTGGTAACCTACTGGTGCTACCTGCACACTCTCACACACACCCGCCCACAAGGTCGCCACAATCACCCCCCCTTTGAGGCCTAACGTCCTCGTTGGCCACCCTTCCGGCTGAGTTAGGCTTTGATACCATTTGTAACAACCTTTACTCTACCTAGACACAATATTGTCCGCTTTCGGCTCCCCCGGACCAGAAACGTTCCAGAGGGTCACCCATCCTGGTACTATTCCAGGTTAAGCATGCTTACATATAGTACTACTCCAGGTACTATATTGTGGTCTGGGGGAGCCAAAAGCGGACAATATTGTGTCTAGGTAGGGTGAGGGTTGTTACAGAATACACTACACTTCAGACCAACCAATAGCCTAACCCTGCTACTAAAGGGTACTTGAGCCCTAAAAACTCTCCACTTCTTTGCTCACCCTAGTGTCCCAAACATCTTAAACACCCATGCTTTTATGCTCAATCCTCCTATTCTTTCATCTCTCCAACCATCTCTACAAGGCTTGCGAGTTGAAGAACAAAGAATCCCTCATAGACCTTTCTCTTATGAAACTAAATATCTCACTTTCCCTTTGTCATTCTCACAAGTCTCAGTTAACTAATCTAGGTTTCTATTTATACTTTATAGTATTGCCCAAATAACCTATTGAATAAAAAATACAATTCATCTTTGGTCATTTCCCATGCAGAGCCGACTTCAATACAAAAACCTAATGGAAACAAATTCAAGACATTTTAATAACTATCCACCTTGACTCAAATTTTGACAACCCAAACGTCACTTTTCATACGAACATTCGAACAGTTCATCACAGCCCCCATTCCAAGCGCATTACGAATATAACCTGCAACCACTACTAAAGGACTTTCATCAAGGGACCATCCCTAGAATCCCAAATTCCCAATTGACTTTAAGGCCTTCCACCCAAGGACTTAGCTAACTTGATTAATCGAGCTTTCGTGTTGTGTAGCTACATCGAAGAAAACTGATTGACTCCGCGTATGACTAGGGCTACAAATGAGCCGAGCCGAGCCGAGCTTTGGCCTGCTCAGGCTCGGCTCGCCAAGTTCAGAAGGCTGCTCGGGCTCCGGCTCGGGCGAGCTCAATTTAGCCAAGCTCGGGCTCGGCTCGGCTCAAGCTCACATTGCAGAAATCAGCCTCTCAATCTTCTGCTCTTCGATCGCATTACAGAAGTTTCTCAATCAACGGGTTAAACACTTTTCTCTTATCTAATTATTCCGAAGCACTCTAGCCCAAAAGTATTTTTCATCCTCTTATAACTCCATGAAAAGAAGAAGAAAAAAATGGTTGTCAAGATAAAGAACATGAATCTGAGATGGACAGATTGAGATTAATAAAAATGGTTGAGAGAGGGAGATAGTAATAACCTTGTGGTAGTTGTTGTTGGAGTAAGATTTTCGCATCGGTCACTAATAAAGTAGCTGCCAACATGAATCTGAGATTGACGGATTGAGAGGTCTCCTATGGCTGCCGTCTTCAACAAGAGTTAGGAACTTAGGGTTTCTTTTCTTTTGTTATAGTTAATTGGTTATAATGTGTGTAATCCAACGGCTGTGATAAATTGCATAGGTTATTGGGCTTATTAGCTTTAGGGCTTGATATAGTTTAATTTTATAAAACCAAACTACTACATAGACCTCTAAAAACTTTTAAGTGTTTGGGCTAAATTTTAGTAGCAAAATTTGAAATATAGGCCCTATTAACTAAACGAGCCTGTTCACGAGCTTGGCGAGCCGAGCTCATCATTGCTCAAGCTCGACTCGTTTATTAAACAAGCCTGGAAAATGAGCTCGAGCTCGGCTCGTTTACTAAACGAACGAGCCCAAACCAAGCTTTTAACGAGCCGAGCCCGAGCTGTTCGTGAACAACTCGGTTCATTTGCAGCCCTATGTATGACTGATCCCTTTACAACTATCTGGACTTTTTTTATGTGTTCAACTTATTAGGATCAAGCCAAACTCCTCAGTGAACCTTCAACTTTGATACCATTTGTTGTGCATGGAGAAACACATACGTATTGAGATCCAATCACATACAAGAGAAATATTTCAACTTAATTATGTCCAAATCAACATTTCTCTTGTTCAACGCCCAAAACAACACCATATAGTTGAATCTTGTTGCTCAAGGATACTTGAACCCTAACGCACTCCCCATTTCTCTGCTCACACCAGTATCCTGAACCCCTCAAGCATCCCACAGTTCTCTCTCTCCTATCATAGTCTCTATGAAGTTGAAGGATACAAAACCCTCAGACATTCATTTTATCATAATACTACTACTCTCTCGCTCTCTTTCTCATATCATTCCCACAAACCTTTAGCTAGTATTTATACAGTCCTGAACCAAGCTATTAATTTGTAGGACGAATTTTACCAAAACATTTCCTAACAAAAACTTTTTGTTTCTCTAAAATATAAACTCGATCAAAATAAAATTTGAGACACATGTCAAGTATCAACATCATCAACTATGTCAAAACATTAAACTAATATAATTTTATTATCGAGAAAATCCGAAGTTGAACCAAATGCAAGTCAATAATTTGGCAACAATTGAGCAATCTCATGAATACTAAAAATCAAAACTTTAAAGACTGCATGGCTCCAAGAACATCAGAAATTATAAATACATAGCTCAATTGAGGAATATCAATCAATACCAATAATACAGGTGTGCTTGAACCATTATCAATTGCGATTGTTGCATATAAAAGCATAGGAGCAAACTAAGATACACAAGTGACACATACTGCTAGAAAACCCTTTGTCAGCATTACTTTATACATTATTTGGGCAGCTAAAAAAAACCCAAAAGTTTTTTTTTTTTTTTTTCTACTCTAATCACCAGCCTGGAGGAGTGTGGTGTTTTGGGGCTTTTTGATCAGAGAAGAACCACTGGTGTCAGTAACAGCACAAGACTTTCATGGACATGAAATGAACACCGTCAAGCAGTAATTCAGTAACCCAGTATACTTTTAAACCATACATATATGTACATAGAAAAATATTATAGTTGATATATATAGGTATATATATATATATATACATACATATAGTGAAGCAATATTCAGTTCAGAAATTTACCCCAAGCAACAATAGACACGAGCTTTAACAGGTTTCGTGTTAGCTGTACTGAATTTCGGAAGAAGAGTAATAGCAGCAACATTTAGAACGATCTCCATTGCTATCTTCTATAGAGAGAGAAAATTATACAATCCCAGCATATGGAAGGATTTCCATTACTGCCTTATGGGGAGAGAGTTTTATCGTGCTGTAGTGTAGGATAACGACACAGGAAATAATCAATCGCCAGAGCTTTCATTTTACCGTTTAACACAACTGTCAAATATCACGGGTTCTGGTGTGGGTCTGCCTGCCCTGTCAAACCTTCTCGTGTCCTAAAATTATACTTCCTCCATTCCAAAAAAAAAAAAAATTTTAAAAAATTCTCACTCATAGTTCTCCAAAAGGAACTATATATATATTTTAGGAATGTAAAAAAAATAAAAATAAAAAATGTAAAATGTTAAGAAATTAAATAAAATAAAAATAAAACATATCCCTTTTTAACGGGTTAATTCTGTGGAACCACAATTAATTTAAATATGGGTCATACCCATCGTAGTTAGAAACCATTGTCCAACCCGAACCCGAACAACCCACAAACCCCAGAGAGGTATTCAAACACACAACCCAACCCTAGCCGCGCGACTTAAACCCCAAGCCATAGTCTTCACTGTCAACTAACACTAAGGGTCAGTTTGGTAGGATGGGTTTGAAGGGAAAGGGAAGGGAAGGGGACGGAGGGTAATAAAAAAATTGTGTTTGGGTAAAGTTAGTGGAGGGAAAGGGAAGGAGAGGGAGGGGTTTGGAGGGTTATTTATAAGCAACGTACAGTAATTTTTTAACCTTCCAAAATTGGGAGGATAAGGAAGGAAAGGGAAGGCAATGGCATACAAAATATTTGTTAGGCCAATTTTACCCTCAAATTTGCTCTTCATATTAGGGCCTGTATTCAGCGCGGGAACAAAGGAAGGCGTATATTCAGCGCGGGAACAAAGGCGCCAAAATTCACTGGTATAAGAAGAAATAGGAGAGAGAAAAGGGGGAAGTGGGTTCACGTATGGGAGAGAGAGAAGGGGAAGTGGGTTCACTGCATGGTCTCTGTGCCGGAGGAGGAAGTTGATGATAGAGATAGAAGGGAAAGGTTTGTAACGGCTCCTTAAATTTCCTAAATCCATGCTCTCGGCATCTCCAAGAAGAGCCGCCTCTAGAAATAGGTTGAGCCGGCTCCTTTATTGGCCTGCATACACCAACTCTCGGGATTTCTCAAATGCCCAAGAGAGCCGGCTCCAGCAACTACTTGAGGCGGCTCCAAAAAAAATGTGGAGCCGGCTCCACAAAAAGGAAGAGCCGGCTCCACTCATCTACATCCTTCCTATTTCACTCGGCACCTCTCAAAAACCCATAAAAGCCGGCTCCATGATCATGGTTGAGCCGGCTCCCTTCAAGTGTCCTATTCCCATTATATCTCGGCACTTCCTAATTTGGGGTCATCATTGAAACATTCCAGAGAGCAAACTGACTTAGGAGACTTCATCTTGCTTTGGGCGAATTCTTCCATATGATGGGTTCCTTCACTGGTATGTTAAATCCATGAAATTCCCTCTTCAATTTATATATATTCCTGCTCTTAATTTTTAGTCGAAATTAGCACAAACATAATTCACTATAGAATCTTTTGGTGTCTTTGATTCTTTTCAGTTGAAGATATGGTATTTGCAAGAAATTGGTGGATCTGTATGTTCGATCCACTTCATGCCTTAGGTTGTTAAGTTTTTTTTTTTTTTAAATAAAGTCAGAAAGAACCTAACTTACTGTTTTATGTTGTTGATCATCATTGATTACATTTGTGATCAAACCCCTCTCACCCAAAAAAGTAAGAAGCCAAATTTAAAGATTAAATTAATGATCATTTTTTTACTTTTCTCTGTTGTTACTTGCTTGAAGGAAGATCTAGTAATTGGGAGCCTGCTCTACTCATATTGGAGCCTCCTCTACTTAAAGTAGAGCCTGCTCCATTCATATTGGAGCCTCCTCCACTTTTACTTGAGCCGGCTCCTTTTATAAGATTTGATACATTAAAGAAGATCTACACTAAACTATATTGAGGAGACTATAGTTTAAGCAACCATCATTGGGTACAAATGCAGCTATCTTCTTCCCATTCTTAATCAGCTGCACACGAGCAGATTTTCTCATGGCAAAGTTGGGCTGCTTAGCCTCAATACCACTGCATAAATTAGTTAAGTGCTGTTGAGTTTTGAAATATTGATTTGGAAAGAGAAGATGAATGTGGCATTTGCTACCAAACTGAGCCTTAGAACCGAATCTTGGGGCAAAAATATTGTTGCGTATTTAAATCTAAAAATTTATCTTTTAAAATATATAAAGGGCATAATAGTAAATTTTTTATTATCCTTCCCTTTCCTTTCTTTTCCCAAACATGATTGTTATCCTTCCCTTTCTTTTCCTTCATTAATCAACCAAACACGATTGAGGATTAAACTTATCCTTCCCTTCCCTTTCCTTCCATTTCCCTTATAACTAATGTTATCCTCCCCCTTCAAACCCATCCTACCAAACATAGCCTAAATCGCCGGCCGCCCAAACATCAGCCGCTGTCACCAATCGTCAACCTTAGCAACCGGAAGTGTGACCGTCGCCGACCAAACGACAGTGAACGATGGTCATATTCGCCGGAGCGCTCAGTCCACTAATTCAGCTTTATCAATGATCGTCCTGTCGCCTTTGGTTTCGTCTCTGGTCACATTCACCATAATTATTATCTTTCCGTCGAGTCTTTCGCCGCCGTTAAAAGACTTTTTGTTTACTGCCGTGCCCATCGTCGGTCGTCATCTGAGCCTTCTCAAGCCATCGTTGTCGCCACAGACTTGCTGGTTGGGTATTATTTCATTTTAAAATACAAAATTATCACCACCAATTATACCAATACCACTAATTCCAACTGTATATATATATTTTTTTCGTTATTCATAATTTCTCTTCTTGGTTATACTAGTTGATAACATAAAATTATTATGATTTATAATTTTTTTTTTTTTTTTTTTTTTTTTTTTTTTTTTTTTTTTTTTTAAGAATATCAGATTAAACCGATATAACTACCTTCTTCCACCACACTGCCGAGAATCCTTCGCCGCCCGTCTCAACGTCTTGCCCTGGCCGTCGTTCCCTCACCGCCACCGATCTATGAATTTAACCGAGTAGCGTGGGCTTCACAGAATCACACTGTAGGTACGACTCTCTCTCCTCTAATCTCTCTGCTAAACACCCTTGACATACTCTTTCTAAATATGATTTCACCGACATTGAAAAACCAATTTCTACTCTCTACTGAGATTTCAAAATTAATTTCCGGGAAAAAAAAAATTCGAAAATGTCCTTGATATGAACCCTACAACATTATCTGATTTCTCTCTCCTTTTTGTCACAATAATGTTCTTCCTCTCTGTCTCCTCGAGGGAATCCGAACGCATCGGTTTGGACATTATTTTTTTAAATGCACATTGCATTTGCATTTGCATTTACAACATATAAGTAGACAACCCTACCCCGATGTTGGGTTAGGGTCGGGTTGGCTCGAGTACCAGTTTGATTCGATTTGTCCCATCAACCAGCCCGGATTTCACCCCTTAGTTTTCATTCTCTTTCGAAAAGTCTAGTTTTCATTCTTGCATGATTTTTTCGGTATATTTTTGGCAGTGTATTTGTTTTTTTAAGGGATGTTGACTAATTTACATAACGATGTTGTTGCACTCACTGAAATTGCATGGTATAATTTGATTGCAGTTTGCTACTTTGCTTGATGGAGTATTATTGTTTCTCTTTGGTGGGTTTTGATTGATTGACATGGTAATTGTATGAAAAACATTTAAACTGTTGTATAAGGTGATCATATTGTATGTTGTTTCAATTTACATGATAAACTCTGTGTTTTCCTTTGATGGTTTTGATTGTTTCCCTTTTTCTAGTTTTGGGGTATTAGTTTTGTCTATTATCAGTTTCTGGGTATGATATGTAGTATATTCCATTTATATTCCAACTTATTTTTGCTTGTAGTTGTTGCTGGTGGCCGTCTTTTTGCACTTCCATTACTTAGTTCTTATCCTCCATGTTCGTGTTCAGCTCTTTATGTTTTTATCTATGGACCAACAAATCACTTCTTGCATATTGTCAGTTTCAGCACTTCAGATAATTTACTGAATGGGGCTGCTGTTTCTTTCTGAAATCTATTTTGCTACTCTCTTTATCTACACATGCACGTGTTATGCCTTTTTTATCCTGGTTGTAACCTTACTTGACAATAGGGATATAGCTTAATGGGGTGGTTACAAACTTATCATTATAGTTTAATTTGTCTTTTCTTTTTTATTCTTTGGATTCTACATACTTGAGATTTTCCATCTTAATATAGTGTTTTCATTTTAATAATTCACAGATTGGAAAGCGAAGGAGGGAAAAATGGTATCTGAAGCAAAGGAGAAGATATTGCATATTTTTTCAGATTTTATGACAAGGTTAATTGATGTGCCTATGATTTTATACTATCAAATGATTTTAAGAATGTATATTGAGACCATAAGCCTCGCTTTAGGTGGATCGATGCCATTGATTATAATTAGGTCGGGACCTTTTGGTACATATTCCAAACCAGTGCTCCTAAATGCACTCAAGAAAAAAAAAATGTAAATGAAGGCACAGAGCTCTACTTAGTGACATTTCATTTGCTGCGTTATGGTCATTAAGCACTGTATTCACTTTGGAATCACTTGACAAAATATCTAAATGATTTCTTAAAGTGTTAGAAAGTTTATTTTGGTTCTTCCCCCTCTCCTCTAATATTCTAACATGCATACATCGTAACATATTTGGTGCTGCAGTGTTAAAATTCTTCTTATCTTCATGGCTCTGAAAAAATATATATATTTTGTACTATTTAATTCTGGTCTTTCCATTGTAGCATCACAAAATTCGATGAGTTAGTGCCTGTGGGGAGTAGGTTGCTTGTTGGATTTCAGCAAGGACTGGGTGAGTGTTTGTGGATATCAGTTTGTTATATGCTGCTGGTAGAAGGATGAATTTCTTGCTGCTTTTTTAATAAAGCTTGTTTCCCCTGCAGACTTTCTTCAACGGCCTCCAATTAAGAAGACAACATCTGAATTAGTTGAGCGCATCATTGAAGCTAATGAAACAAAGAGGGTTTTATCATATTTTGAAGCTGGCTGTGTCAATACTCATGATAGCGTACAAAATATTAGCAAGTGTAAGTACATATGGATCCTATTGATGAGTTTACTCCTGGTTAGACAACTTAAAAGAGTATAGGGATAGTGAGAACCAACTACTGCAGTGATGGTGTTTCTTGCTCATGCTTCTCGATGCATTTCCTGTAGAGGATAATCTTTTTATATCTCCCCATTGTAGCCAATTGTTAAATATTTATAGAGATGCAACACGGCTTGCTTCATTTTTGTTGTATTAATTTAACATTCTGAACACTTCGTTGTGGAATTTTATCTCTATTTGCATCCAGTGGTGATAATATGATGTGATCATCTTATTGCATTAGAGGTTAAAACAGTTTATTGAAAACTTTGAAGAAGTTGCACACTGTTATTCAATTGTAAGTAAATATCCTGTAGTATAATGTATATACATATACACAAAGAATATGCCCTAACAAAAAAGGAGGAAAAGACAAGACTGCCCTAATTAAAAAAGAGGAAAAGACAAGACTACCCTTAATATTAAAATAAATCCTCTAACATTTATAATGATTTTTTTTTTTTTTCTTTTTTGTTCTATTCTACAGCATGGGATTGATTATAAAAAATATATTGTCTATTTAAATGTCCTTGGGATTTGATGTTTTAAATTCTCTCTTCCTCATCAAAACAGCTAGTTTGCACTGCACACTCTCTTTATTTATTAATCCGATTGGTGTTTCTTGAGAACACGGATTACTTGCTTGCTATTGTTTTGTTGATTTATATCCAGTGGGTTTTGCATATAAGGAAACTTATTGGTCTTATTGCATTTTTTTTCTCCATTTGTGAATTTGCATACAGAAGTACATACGTGCCAACTTGGACTTTATGACCATCTAAGTAAAGGTAACTTCTGTTCCTTAAACTACTACTATTTTTTTTTTTCTTTTTATGTTCCCACAATATTATGTAAGGAATGGTATTAAAAGTTTGGTGAACAAGTAATGCAATTACAGTAGTTTCAAAATTTATGTCTTCATAATGTTTGTTATCTTTCTTGAGTGGCATGCATGATGCCAGTTAATGTTTCTCCATAGTATAGTTTGTCTTCCGTGTTTAGATAGGTGTTATGCAAAATTATAGGCTTCAAATATTCTTGGAACGTTGTTATTGCATACTGATCTGACTTGTGACTAAATATTATAGTGGCCGTAATATTTGTGAAGCATCTGAAAAAATGTGGTGTGACACAAGTAGGCACTCAAGTCAATGTGGTGCAGCAAGTTGCATTTTGGACATAATCTCAGTACTCCCCCACAGGAACTTCTTCACCTTTATTCAAAATTTAGTAACGACATTTACCCAATCAAAAATTACATTTTGTCTACCAACCAAGTATTTAGTAAGTGGACCACAATCATGTCCTCTTGCAGTGGGATGCATTGTTCTACTAATAGAGCTTGCCTACATTTTTCTTTTTCATCGTTCTCCAAGCATACACTATAAGTGATTGTGGGCTGATTCCTATCAAACGCTATCAATATTTAAGGAACTAAGTTGTCTTTGCTCTCTTAAGGAATTTTTGGTGTGGATTATTGTTTTATTGAACTGAGTTGAGTAGTTGCAAGTACCATTTGGCAGAAGAAAGTCTGCTTATGATATCAACAGGGCGGTGACACAGATGCTTGCTGTCATGCCCGGTTTGTAATATAATGAATATTGATTAGAAAAGGGAAAAAGGGCTTATTATTAGATTAATTGGATTTTTCTTTACTTGATGACTGCGTTCTGTTGTATCCCTGTAGAGTGTGGTGCAATCTAATTAATTTAGCATTGCATTGAAATTATGCATTTTTTAGTAACGATAGGATGTTTTCCCCAAGGAAACTGATGTTGGAAGATCCAATCACTCTGAACAAAAGAAGCTCAAAACCAATACTTTGTCAGAGGCTCATAGTACTATGCTATATAATAAGCATTTAAAAAGGATTATGAGATCAGAATACATCATTCTACTCTCTCTCTCTCTCTCACACACGCATACACACACACAAAGCACAATAATTGGACGCTGTGCAGTTTTTTGTCTTTATCTTGAATGAATTTCTTATGTGCTGGTCCTGGTGCACCGTGCAGCAATACCTGGAACGTAGATTGTTTTGTTGGGGAGAATGAAAATTAATACATGGTATTCCATGTACTCTAAATTGTGGCATGATAGGATTTTATTTTTCTAGATGGTTTTATGTCAGGAAAGACCAAGGTGCTGAAAAACTTGGCTTTCTTTGCTTTGTACAACGGCGTCGAAAAAGATTTTAATTATTGACAACTTGTTCCAATTGATGCTGAATGTGCAAGTGAGCAGGGTAGATCATGAATCACTTGTTGATACATTTCTCGGTAGCAGGGGACTTATCACATCTTCTTCTCTCCTTGTTTGGAGTTCATTTATGACGTAGTGGAAAGCGATAGATTGTTCACAAGGAACGGGTTACTTTGAATTCACAGAGTAGTGTGTTTTGAATCCACAAAACAAGAGATAAATTCATAAAGAATTTTGAAATATTATTGATAAAAGGTTAAATTCTGCTCTTGCAATACATGAATATTTATAATAGAGAAAACCTAACACTAGAGGGAAACTAAAATCTAATCCTACAAGGAAACTAATGGAATAAGAAAACTAAAAGCATAAGAAATTACCTAAAATTAAACTACTTCTAAAAATATATATAAAAATAAAATAAGTAAGAAACCTAAATAATAAAATTACTAAATAGTAAACCAAATTGTCCTACATTAGTCTCCTCCACTTCAAAAAAACTCGTCCTCGAGTTTCACTCCGGATCATAGACGAGTATAAATAAAATTTGATACCACTGCGGGACTTGAGCGATTCACAAATTCCTCAGTTCTCATGATGGTGCATTGGATGAATAATCAACAGAGTAGTCAAGATAGCAAAAGAGCAATGAGCAAGCATCCTTCAAGTTGACTTCAATTATTGCATCTGCACAGTCCCAAACACTTGAAATCCTAACATGAGTTAAACTTTTGATTTTCCTCTCCAATTATTCCCTCTAGGTGACTTCGAGTGCCCAAATAAACAGTGTACAAAATTATCATGCACTGTAATTTCAGGCGTATCAGGCAATCCACATTCAAACTTCAAAGGAGTTCTTTTTGTTACACAAATCTTTAAAAATTCAATCACCCACAGTTGGCTGCAAAGTCCAAAACCATTAGAAATATTACCTTTCATAAAATTATCAAAAAGTTGATATTTGATGTTTTGGGATGGGTATTGAATTCGACACAGAATAGAACTTGTGATAGGATGGTCAATTCTTGGCACGTTTTCCAAGCAAACATGCATATGGGAATCATCTTCTTCTTTATCCTCACTCACACCATTAGCAAAAATAATGGTCACTTGTGTAATTTCCACCTGTGCACCTACCATCACTGGTATGTTGAAATCAGAATGTGCCATTACATGGTCTAATTCATGTATCACATTCTTGTATAAACCTGTTGCATTCACTTGGACATCGTTGAGTAACAAGGATTCACAAGTAACTTTTGCGGCTGCCGAGTCATCATCTTGACCCATCGAACATGGGTCCACACCACAACGTGGGAAACAATCGTCTTCAAGTTTTTCATTGAGAAGTTGTTTGCCTTCATCCTATTGCTTCATATCATATTCTTTCTAGCTATTATTTATATCTAAGAACTCTATTCTTGAAGCTGTGTTATCAGAAACCGTTCTAGGCGCATCTGTTGCGAATAAAACATGGTCAACTTTGTTATCCGCAAATACAAGAGGTGGAGCAACCCGATTTTTCTCTTAATCAACCTCAATAATATCAGTCGTTGCTTCACCAAAATTATTATCATCCTTGATGCTAGTATCTTTCTTGTAAATTTTCTCTGTTGACTTTTTGACAAGGGACTCTCTTTACGACAATTCCGATATTTTTGATACATTATTTCCTCATAATTTGGTGGTAAGAAATTAGCCATCAATAGTTGTTTCATCTTGTACCATGATCGCACAGGCTGTTTTCCTTGCCTTATCCGGTTAGTGTGTATTTGTTCCCATGAAATTGAAGCCCATCCTTTCAAATTAAGGGCAACGAGTGAAACTTGCTTGTTTTCAGGTACATCAAAATACTCAAAAAATTCTTCAATTTCTTTAACCCAGTCCAAGACATATTCAATAATAATACTTCCATGGAAAGTAAGTAGATCAAATTTTACCTGAAATTCACGATTGTTGCGTCTACCTCGATCACTGAATACGAACTCCTCATCATCATAAGAATCATCAAAATAATCTGCATAGGCTGGAGGCCTACGTGGATAAACAGTAACATAACCCATATTTGGTTGATTGCAAGACACATCATCAGTGCGAACTCAAACTGAACTACGAACCTGGTTGCCACCAATTCCAAAACCAGTTGGTACGAACCGATCTTGAGTATGCATGGCTGCCCAAGGGGCCTTCACTCTACAATCATTGTCGGCAAAGTGGGTGCTACCAAAACGAGCAATCTTCATCAGTCCAGGGTAAATCAAGGCTCTGATACCAACTAAAGTAGCGGAAAGCGATAGATTGTTCGCAAGGAAAAGGTTACTTTGAATCCACAAAGTAGTGTGTTTTGAATCCACAAAACAAGAGATAAATTCATAAAGAATGCTGAAATATTATTGATAAAAGGTTAAATTCTGCTCTTGCAATACATGAATATTTATAATAGAGAAGACTTAACACTAGAAGGAAACTAAAATCTAATCCTACAAGGAAACTAATGGAATAAGAAAACTAAAAACATAAGAAATTACCTAAAATTAAACTACTTCTAAAAAAATATAAAAAAATAAAATAGGTAAGAAACCTAAATAATAAAATTACTAAATAGTAAACCAAATTGTCCTACATCAATTTAGTTTATCCCAAATTGATCAAAAAGGTTCTGAAGAGGGTGCTTGTAGGGGATAGAGACAGATGTGATTACCAGTGTCTTTATGCCTTGGTGGTGCATATGGATGGAGTGCAATAGATGTTTATCTGGCAGAGTGGGATTACAAGTTGTAGAGGTGAAGAAACCTGGGGTATGGTGGCAGGGACGGACCCAGGAAATTTTTTTTAGCATGAAATTTTTTTAGATGTTCATCTGGCGGAGTGAAATTTTGTGTGGGTGTGGGGGGGGGGGGTTTGTAATTTCAGGGGGGGCAACATTAAAATTTCATAGGTATACAATTGAAAAAGGGGAAAATTACTCATGGGTGTTGGTTATGAACTTTGGTGCTTTTACTGAATTTTTTATTTAGAAAAAGGGTTGTATATGCTTTTCATTCTCTTTTAAACACTTTCCTCTCAAAAAAATAGTCTATAAAAGAAAAGAACTTATGTGGATAATCATATTTAGGTTTTTTGGGAAGTAAATTCATAACATTTTTATTTACAAAAAAAAAAAAAATTAATAACATTTTGGGTCTTGCAATTTTGTCATTGATATATGTATATGAAATGCAAGAATGGTATATTCCATTAGATTCTGTGCTTACAGAATTACTAGTAAAGATGGCAAGGGCCTGATTATATCCAGACTTCTGCCTCTATCAAGATGAATATGGAACATTAATAACGAGTTAGGGCGGGTTTGAAAAAAATATAAAACTTGATTTGGGTTCGAGCAGAGACAATATTCATCAAGACAGTCCTGCTCGCCCAATTAGTGAGCTATGAACATGCTATGATAATTGTCAATTTTGACACCTGTTCTCCAACATTGGAAGTCAAGTAAGGCTTCCCAACCTTTATAACAGGACCTAAAGGTGCACAACTAAGGCCATGTATTTTCACTTACATAATCATGTGGATGGCAGTTCAAGAAGGTGGTATACGCCGAAGACAAAGCTGGCCCCAGTCAGCCAAGAACTGAAAGCAGGAGTGGGATTCGTCACAGATACTTGATTGTATCTCTAATTGTCGTCATTCTTTCCCACTGTTTTAGGCTTATTAACAGTTTTTTTTTTTTGTTTTGTTGGTGGCATGTACATTATTATGTCATATGAAAGAATCTGGTTGTCTTGTGTCATCTTCTAAGAAGTTAAAAGAACACTCGAATACACATTACGTGATGAGAACGGGCATCTAAAGTTTAATTGGGGTCAGGGATGAATTAGATCATATCGAGGCTGGTGCAGGGTTAGCTAGTCAGGTTGGGATTGGGAATTTGGGATGGGGGCACCCCATACCTTACCCATCCTGTTGATATTTTGTAATCACTGTTTATGCCAACAAGCAAGCTAAAGGTCTGGAGGTGCCACATTGCTTGCACAGCTTTTTTTTTCCCCTTTTATTTTTTATCTTGTCTCTACATGTTTTCCATTGAATTGGGACATACTTATGTAATTGTGCATGTATCTATGGACTTTATGTAATCACCCAAGTTCTGTTACAAGAGTGACTACTTTGTGCAAACAATGTCAAATATTAGGTCAGCGCATACAGTCTTAATATTAGGTCAGCATGTAGTGTTACCTTCCATCACCCTGTATTGGTGGGACAAACATTGTATCATGGATTCATGGGCTTGAATCCCATTTCCTCCGGTGCAGGCAAAATTACTTGATAGAAAGAACCTCTTTGTGTTGCCAGAAAAAGAAATCTCCCTCTATTTAATTTATTAGTAAAGAGCTTTTCCCCTACTAGTCAAGTGGTGAGGTAGGGCGCTATTTGATGAAAATAAAAGAGACTTTAGGAAAGTTGTTCAAGTAGCTTACGTGGTTAGAGCAAGGGGCTGAAAATTCTTGTGTTGGTTTAAATCCTAATGGCCTTTTTATGTTCTGTCATACTCTACTTTTTATGAGAAATAACTTTTTGGCAACTTTCTACTATTGTATTATTCTTGGGTTTTGAATGTTATTAATTTATATTTGATCATGTTAATTGCAGCCAAATGTATACTCAACGAGCTTAAATGCCTTGTGGAGGATGCACAGCAAACAGTAGCAGAAAGTATCCCACACTTGAAGGATGAAGATAGTGGAGATGAGTCAGATCCCAAAGCAACTAATTCTGGCATGGTATTGTTGTTTTATGTTATTATTATCTTTCTCAGTTTGCATTCTTTTGTTTGTTTGATTCAGAGAAAAGGGAGGGATTATTATTTATTAATGTACCAGATGAGCTAATTGTTTCTAGAGGCCATTGCTTGATCCAATGTAGAAGTTCAGGTTACAGCCTGTGAATGTGGGTTCAAGTATGAGAGAAATCACTTTTTTCTTAAAATAGTGCCAACAGTCAGATGTATCTCTAGACCACCTCTCACAGCCTACCCTGCATAGACAGGACCAATGCTAGGTAATAACTAATTGTTTGACCTTCTTTTTCTTTTTAAACTTTGTTTTTAATCTTGGTTGTGCTGAGTTTATGGGAGTATTAGGGATGGCAACAAGGCGGATTTGGGGACGAATATGCCTAATCCCTATCCCTCATTGCCTATATTTATTCTCCCATCCCCACCCTTACTACGGTACGCATTTTTAGTCAAGTGCCCCATCCCCTTCCCAAGAAGAAAGTTGGGAGACTGTCCCCCTGCTCATTGGAAGAGCTGACTGGAGGAGAGCGAGATTGGGGAGGGGGGAGCTGTTGGTAGTATAAAAGAGAAAACCTAAGTGAGAGAGAGAGTGTGGTTGATCATAAACGCTAATCGGAAGAACCAACCGGACTGAGCGTGCCTGGCAGCTGGCTGAGTTGCATGGGAGAGTAGTAGTGGGAAGGGGGTGGCTGCTAGAATAGATAGAATCCCTAGTGAGACTAAAAGAGTGAAAATATATAAAATGGTGTTTCAGGAAACTTAAAGTAAGGGTGTATATGTATTTTAGCTGTATAACGCGCCAGGGGGTGGGGTGGGTGGGTACACCTACATATCCATCCCCTCATCTGCCCCTAACCCGTTTAAAGGCATAGTTGACCCAGTATCAACCCTCTCTTCCAGTTCCAAATCACTCTCCTCAGGAGTTATCTCCTCTCTTCATTACCTTAGCTAAAAGGAATAGTATGTTCTGGCTTTCAACAAAATAAGACGAAGCCTGCTTTATCAATATGATAAAGATGTGCAATTGGAAAGCAATGTCGTGACGCCTTTATGGATAAATTTCTTTATGGGAGAACTAGTACACTTCCCTTGGGACAGGATTTCACAACTTTTCGTTTTCATGCTATTCAACTTTAGAAAACGGACTCTTATGGATTATCAACCAACCCCCCCCCCCCCAAACAACGAAAAAAAAGCCAATTCCCCTTTCTCTAATAATAAGGTAAGCTCGTCCCACCTTTTAATATCAGAATCAATTCATATGTTCGCTCACCTCTTAACTCATTTAATTATTCATCCTTTTCCTTAGTTCTCTAGCTGCTTCTATTTTTGCCTTGTGTACTTTTTGCTCCTTGATGATAGCCAAACCCTCTTATATAATAGTACTTTATTTTGTATCGAGAGTGCACTAGTTTCTGACCAACAGCCTGTCAATGTTGGGTATATGTTGCCTCAATGACTGGTTCATGCCATGTTGCATAATGTGTAAACATCATTGTGCCCAATGCTGAAGCAGCTTTGGCTCATTTCTATTGTGTATATTTTTTTGTGCTGAGAGGATGATGCCATCTTAGCTTTCAAAGCTTTTACGGTGCCACTTGACATGTGCGGCTCAAAGTTAATAATCAACTCTACTTTTTGTTGATATATTAGGCTTTTCAATAAATATGTATATTTATATATATTTAAGTGGAGCATATAACTTGATGCTTCCAAACTATTGTCGTCTAGAGAATTGGCATGTTACTCATTGTACTGGTGAGTCCTTAAACGAGTGGAAGACATTTATGCTGCATGGAGCAACCTGTTGGTTGAGAATTCAGTACAATCAAATTCAATAGGGCCCTCCATGCCGCATGATTCCTGGAGTCCTTCTAGGGAATATCAAGGTTACCTAGGATTTCATTCCAAATCTTTAGCTCAATCCTGTTTCAGATTGTGGACCGCTACCTAGAACCAATTAGTAGTGGTTAGTAGATTTGTTATGGCCTCGTGTTCTTAATGTAATTTGATGCAACAATTAGTGGAATTTCATAAACATGATTTGATCCCAGTTTCCATTTTGATATATATTATTATTACATAATATTGGAAGGATTACGGCTCTATCTTTTATAGGGGGATGCTGAATCTTCCGATATTCAGAAGCTTGATGTTGCTGATTATGCTGTCCTGATAGGTATTATTTATAGTATGCTGAAGCAAGACTACACAATGCAGGTGATATGCCTTTCCCTCTTTCGTAAGATATTTCATATTTTAATGCAGGAAAAAGAAAACATTTAATCCCCCTACTTTGTATGGAATCCCTAATGTAGAAAAAATGGGAGTATTTTTTCAACAATGAGCGAGTTTTCCTATACAACACTTATTATGCTGTTATAATTGTTGCAGGAAAGGATTGTTGCTTCTCTTAATCTTAAGTCATCATCATCAGAATTGGAGAGCTACTGCCTGATGTGGTCTCTACGTCCTTTTATGGATGATGAAATCTTGCATAAAGCTTGGAGATTTATCACATAACTGTTTCAGATTCTTGTGTTCCGATTTTTTTTAATTTTTTCTTTAAATTTTTTGTTTGACATGCTTGTAGTTCAAATATTATGCAGCACAAGCACTATTTATTATTTTGGGGGATACCAGTACCAAATTAAGTGTCCACTGGTTTCGTCTGTCTTATTTTCTCATTGTTGACTGCAGTCTACTGATAGGACTGCAGAGGACATACTTCATTTGGTCACAGTTTACTATATATGATTTGTTCCTTGTCTAGTCTGGTGGTTCTTGATTGTTATAAAGCTATTTTTGACATGGCAGGAAAAGCAGCCTAACAATTTCGAGGGCTTGCTTGGTTTGTAAGCATAGAAAATTGTTTTCAGAAAGCATGCTTGGTTTTTAACTCTGAAAACACTTCTTCAGAGAATAGAAAATTGTTTTCAGAAAGCATGCTTGGTTTTTAACTCTGAAAACAGTTATCAGAAACTTAGAAAATAGATAACAGTTTTCATAGAACTATAAAAGACTGTTATTTAAATATAAACATTTTTATAACTGAATTTTCATAAAACAGTTTTTAAAAAAACTGAACCAAGCATAGTATTTTGTACAGTTTCTGTTTTTAGTTTTTTGAGAATAGAAAACTGCTTCCATAGTTTCTAGCTTATTTCCATTCAACCAAACAGAACCTAAAAGAAAAGTTATTGTAACACTATAAAGTATAAACTCTAGCTGTACGGTGGTCTAGATGCACCAAATGGTGGAGTCAGATTAGCTTTTGTGATTGAATTGGTGAGAGAATCGGTGTTACGTACATTCTTTTTCGCATTGTGTCTTGATCTAATTATGTGTTTGATAGTTTCAGACCGGAGATCCTTCTAACCTTCTAGTAGAAGTTTTTGAATGATTCACATCTATTTCCATTCTTCTTTGATCACACACGCATTATAGTTGTTACTTAATTCTGAGTCACAATCACAAGATCTGAGACCTGTTAGCTTTAGAGAGTTCTATATTTGAACAAGAGTGAAACCAAGAGTATGGTCTTCTTCAAAGCCAAAACGTACGTTGATGCTTGTACCAAGCTCAACATTTACTAGGTATAGAAGTCATCAATAAAGAGTGTATTGCAAGTGACAAAATGATTGGTACATTTCAAATTCCATGTCAATTAATTTCAAATTCGATTACATCTAAATCTAACCATATATCTTATTTCTACCCATTTAACATTACCAAACCCCACATTATTTTTCATTTCCTTCCACATCAGATCAGAATATAGGACCAGCAGCAAGGATTTCCTCGGTCAGCTTGCTATCTTTGCCAATCTTGTGGTTCACAAATCCCTCAAAGTTCCCCTTGAATAGGCCAGCTAGCTTCAACAATGTTTCCTTGTAAGACTTCTTATCCGACCACTGCATTCAAAAACAATATATATGTGTAAACATTATGCTAAGTATACAAGTAAAACACTATATTGATGTTAAAGAAGACAGGTCGAAAACAGCTAGTCAAGGCTAAGAAAAAACTTACAGTGTTGATTGGATCCAGAATTTCAGGAGGCACACCCTCGATTTCAGTTGGAATCTCAAGCCCAAACACTTCTGTCTTTTTATAATTGGCATTCAGAAGGCTGCCAGAGTGTATGGCATCAATGATTTTGCGGGTGTATGGTAACTTGATACGTTTCCCTGAACCATAGCTGCAAAATAATCAAAACTAATCAGTCCATAATCTCATAAAATTGAATGAACTCAAAACCATATTTTGCATCTTCATAATCCAATACGAACCTTCCACCAGACCATCCGGTGTTGACTAGCCATCCTGTCGCACCATGCTTCTGCATCTTTGCAGCTAGCATGGCAGCATATTTGGTAGGGTGCAGCATGATAAAAGCTGCGCCAAAGCAGGCTGAAAAGGTTGCCTGTGGCTCCTTCACACCCTCTTCCGTGCCAGCCACCTGTATATATTACAAATTCAGTCAAAAAAAAAAAATTTTGTTACCCCAATTCATAACCTTTGGACTCTTATGTAGCATGTAAGCATTCCGGAAGGAGATTATGTTGTAATTTATTACTTATTGGAAAGAAGGAACTAGTTTTGACGATGAGATACATACCAGAGCAGTGTAGCCACTGATGAAATGGTACATTGTCTGGGCAAGGTTCAGCTTGCTCACAGGTGGGAGCACACCAAATGCATCACATGCCAAAAGTATGACATTCTTCGGGTGTGGACCAACACATGGTAACTTTGCATTGGGAATGTACTCAATGGGATAAGCTGCGCGTGTGTTCTCTGCAATAAGAAGAAAAATAGCCACAACTTCAAGATTTAGAATCAGTGTAGCCATTATGTATCATAGAATTCCTCATACTATTTGGTTCATCTGCAATGTGGTATTGTTATTCAATCTACATTAGTTTTAAAGGAAATTGCCCTTCTTTATATTACCTGTAACAGACTTATCTTCATAATCCACTTCTCGGGTATGCTCATCGAACACCACGTTTTCCACCACTGCCAAAGATGAAGTAATTGAAACATTTTGTTATGAGTGTCAAGTTTCAAAATCACGTTGAGAGGATAAAAAAACACCCAGAGTTCCTTAATTTTTTTTAACATTTTCAAACATTCGATTTTAACACATCAATTTAAAGTTGGATGGGATGAGGATTATACCGGTCCCAAACTTGATGGCATTCCATATATCAGGCTCCTTCTCCCTTGAGAGATCGATACACTTGGCATAGCAACCACCTTCAATGTTTGACACACCAGTTTCACTCCAACAGTGTTCGTCGTCTCCAATTAAGTACCTATTGTGATCAGTTGACAAAGTTGTCTTTCCGGTACCTAAAAAATAAATGAATATAACTCATCAATAATGATGGAAACAGAAGAAGATAAGCAAGCAAAATAGTTTGTATAAAATTAAATAAATGAGGCAGATATAGAATAAGAGTGAGAAGGCACATATCAGTTAACAGGGGATGGCACCACATCGGGACACTGATCCGATGATACTTTACCTGACAGTCCAAAGAAGAGGGCGACATCTCCATCTTTGCCCATATTGCAGCCGGAATGTAGGGAGAGGATTTGACGCATAGGCATGAGATAATGCATTACACTGAATAGACCTTTCTTCATTTCCCCGGCGTACTGAGTGCCGAGGATGACCATTTCCCTTCTAGCGAGGTTTAAATCTATGCTAGTAGAGGATGTCATGTAGTGGGTGTAACGATTACACGGGAATTGACCAGCATTGTATATAGTGAAGTCCGGAGTACCGAAATTCTCCAGCTCTTCAGGTGTGGGTCGGATACACCTGTCACCCACCCGGTTATCGAATTGTACACTAAACTAATGCACCATCACATTGCTTACCAGTAACTTTGATGCAATCATTTCTTAGTTCCTTCACTGAATTCTATGAAGGATTATGATAATAATAATACTCAATATAGGAGAATTAGTACTATTATGTCATGTTGTTAAAAAAAAAAAAAAAAAAAAAAAAAACAGACTTATCTGGCAGAGGATTAGACCTTGATGGAAAGGTGAACAGAAAGACAAATACTTGCTAAATTAATTTTTCATTTACACTTACATGTTGTGCATGAACAAGGAATGGTAAGCTCTGGCGGAGACAATCCGGACTTTGATTTGGTTCTCTGGGTCCCAGTTCAAGAATTGATCATTAACGAAAACCTGGCAAAGACAAGTACATCATTCATTAATTAGTCTAAAACCCATTAATCAAACAGGTATATACACCTCTATGTTCACACACATAACAACTATAATGAGGATCTCCCACGGAAATATCACTATATATATATTAATGATGGTATGCAAAGCTTATTATATTAATGATTCAAGAATGTGAAACTCCAGCATACAATAGAAATAAATTTAGTGGTGTGAAATTGAGCTCAAACAATAAAAATAAAACAAATAAAAAAGGGTACTAAAAACCTCCTAATGTTGTTAATAAAGGTACCAAGAGCAGTATGATGACAAAACCAGAAAAGGACTGGATGCCCACTGACCAAGGTTTCATTTTTAATTGCTGCGAGACTGTGAAATTGAGCTTGGAAAATTTATAAAAAATAATAAAATAATAAAATGAAATAAAATAATTAAGAATTAATTTGTTTCGACGTAAAATATTCTTTTTAAAAAATATTTTTCTTTTTCAGATAAAATATTTTTTTTATTTTTACTTTTTCAGTATTTGGCAAAGATTTACGTCCAGATTGAGGTCGAATCTATAGGATAATGTAAAATAACTTGTCGAAAATTAATGAGTAAGTTATTTTAATTAAATTTTAATATATTTTTTTTTTCGTAAATATTTTATGACAACTAAATACCAAAAAATTAAAAAATATTTTTTTAAAAGTATTTTACGTCCAACCAAACGAAATCTAACGAACAAAAAATTTTCATCAGATTTTGTTATTATTAAAGTGGATTTTGGTAGTATTACTTACATTTATAATCACTGATAAAGTCTTACAAAAACTTTTTTTTAGACCAAGGGCCCCTTTGGCAAACAGGGCCTAAGTACACACATTTCTAGATTTGGGTCATTGAATAGGGCGTGGTCACGCGGCTAGTGATGTAATAACTCGCAATTCAACTAAAAAACTCATGATATAAAAGACGAAATCTGAAAAAGCTGAATGAAAGAGGGTTGGTTCACATAACCCTTTTTAAATTTCGAAAATCAAATCATTTTCCATTCAACATCACACAAGAACCGACAGATAAATTACCCAAGTGAGGACAAAGTTGCACCTATCAACAAGGGTAGTTTTGGACAATTTGTACAAAGAGACAACAACGATGCCATCACCACTTTCTTAAAAGAGTTGTGATATTATCTCTAACACGTGACAGGCACACGCCCCATTCACTCTCTCTGTGGTGGATGATGATGGTAGGTTAGGTATATGTTGGACTTTCTTTAATTCTTATGTAAATTTGCAATACAAAATTGAAATTTATTTATTTATTTTAACTTACCCGTTAAAAATAAATTCTAGAATTCAGAAAAGAGTGATTGTCAAGAGAGTAGAAATGGAGAAATTACCTTCTCCAAAGAGTTCAAGTAATCAACAGCTCTTTCTCTGTTCACCAAGAATGTATGCTCATCCATTTCAATATTGGGAGAACCTCTGTACATATTATACACACACAAAAATTTAATATAATATCCATACAAGAACGGTGAAGAGAACAAATTACTAAAGAAACAAATTTCATAAAAATAAAAATAAAAAAATTCCTAAATTTCTTAAAAAAATAGAATATGTAATTATTATTTAATATAATATCCATACAAGAACGGTGAAGAGAACAAATTACTAAAGAAACAAATTTCATAAAAAAAAAAAAATTCCTAAATTTCTTTAAAAAATAGAATATGTAATTATTAGGATAGAGAGAGAACAGATCGAGCACATACTTTCCCCACCAAAGGTCATTCTCTGTAGTATCGTCCTTGACAACGCGTTTATCTCTTGGAGCCCGACCTGTCTTGGCCCCAGAAAGGGTGGCCAATGCACCTGTTGAAGTAATGAAGGACCCTTTCTCATACTTGATGGCCTGTTCGTATAACTCTGCACAAACACCATCAATTAATTCATTCCAGTGTACTGTCTTATTCTCTCTCTCACCCTCCATTTCTTGAAGAGATCTGAATAAAGCATGTGATTTGTCTCAATCATCCAATCTCATGCCTATAAGATTGTGATCTGAATAACGCATGTGATTGTGTTTCGGTGAAATTTCAAGCCAACATCTGAATAACGCATGTGATTGTGTTTTGGTGAAAATTCAAGCCAACACTCACCCATGTCTCAAAAAGGAAGGACTTATACATGATTTATATGTTAGATCCATGTCTTTTTAATCTCATTTATTACTGTATATCATAATATATCAAAAAATAAATAAAATTCAATCTCATGATATGTATGTAAACAAAGACAAATAAGTTTTACCTGCGGGAGAGAGGTTGTAGAGGACATGGGTAAACTTCAAGGAACTGTCACTAACGCTGATGGTTGGTGTGTGGATGTGGTAATGGTGGTGCGAAACCTTTGGGGTATCAGACTGTCTTGCTGGATCTCCTTTCACCAATTTGGGTCCGGTTTCTCTCGTCAGTGATGCCAGAGAAGCACTGTTATATATGGCCAAAACTAGCAACATAAATAATTGAAGACAAATTCCAATGGACGAATAAATTTATTCAACATCAAGCAAAAAAAATGAATTAAAAATTATTTTAAAAATTAAATATAATATGACGCAATAGAAAGAAAGAAAAATTATGAGACCTACCATATGGAATGAAATTAAGGAATGATAATGGAAAAAGAGTCTACTTGAGCTATTTTCTATCTATAAATTCTTGCCATTGAAAAGAAGAAAAAAGGTGGAAGGAAAATGATGACCAAGCAAAACCACCTCTAACTAATTGACAATTCTATTTCTACACTTTCATCATTCTTTGAAAACTTTTAAGCATCAAGTAAGGAATAAACATTTTTAGGTTAGAAAAACGTCTCACGTCTCAATGCCATGAAGAAAAACATAATAATAGATTTATATAAAAATATTAATAATTATAATATTCTACCACACTACTCTCCAATTCTACTTTTCTTCTAGACACTAAATAAATTATCCCTCAAAATCTTTCCGGGTCAAAAATTTGCTCCAAAAGCTATTCCATACAGTTCAATTCTATCATTCACTATTCTAAATATAAAATCGGTTTCACTTCATTAATTAAAAAATGAAATTTCATTCAAGTCAAACAATATCATGCCGTGATTTTTTTTTTTTTTCAGCTATTATATCTAATAATCAGAAATGATTATATAAAAAAAACTTTCTCCACCATTGGATATGATTTGAGGTAAAAAAGTAACTAAAAAAAAAAACTATCATATCCAACTGTACAAGAGATCATTACTGAACTAAAAATGTTTTACGAGTTATTAGAATAAACGTGATTTAACATTTGAATACATTTTCACCTAGATCTTCTAGGAAATTTCTCTTTCTATTTTTCAAATCATTTTTTTTAAAAAAAAGGATGTCCTAGTAATTCCAATATATTATTTACATTTTCATTGGATTCTATGGACCGGGCAAGGGTGTCACACTGTTGTACGCGTACACCAAAACTAACCCGGTCCCACTACAAAATCCATATTTAAACCTGTCTAATCCATCCAATTTTTTTTCCTTCCAATATAAACAATTAATAATGGGTACAGTACCATTATTAAACGTAGGAAGGAGGTCTTCTGCTTTGGACTGAAGGTTAATCCAACCCGCTAATTCTCTATCCAACGCGCAGCTATTTCAATCCTAAAATAATTGTATTAATCTCATTTTAATGTGTTTGGAAACTGAATCTATTTTATAATTCAAATGCTCAGTGTTTCCAAAAACAATATTAACGTAATTGAATATATTTTTAATAGGGTAAAAAAAAAAATATTTTTCCTTTAATATATTAAATCTATTGCTTCCAACCGGATTTAATATGTTAAAAATAGACACCTCTGTGTTCTTCCACTGTACAATTACTGGTGCACAGCAGGGTCATCTTTATCTCCCTGCAGTGTTCAAGATTTTCCACTTTTATTCTCCCTTCTAAAAGCAAGCCACGTATATCAGCTTGATTAATGAGTGTATATATTGTGATATGTCTATATATACCTAATGGACTGGAGCTGCTGCTTGTGGCGTTCTTCTTCAGACATGGCAGCAAAAGGCGCCGGAATCCCATCAATGGGAGTGGTAGGGGCTGATCTCTTCTTCTGCAGGGAGTGAAGCTCATCGATCGTCTGAGCCTTCACCGGAGGCGTGCTGTCGTCGTGACATATGCCGTTCTGTCTCTTCTGCGTCTGGATCTTCGCCAGTCCATTGCGACCTCCGTTCGCAACCCTCATCTCTCCGTTCGCTGCCATTTCTTCCCTTCTCTGCAGCATTCATATAAATTAATCATTCATTATATATACACAAACACACACACATATACATACATATATATATATATATATATATATGCACAACCATACACGTCCTGATTTGTAAGAAACTAGCATATGAACCAAAATTGCCGCCAGAATAGGATAAAGTTTGCAGTCTAGATCTTATCCGAAGTCAGTTTAATTTTTCCCAAAATAACAATAACACTGACACTTGTCTGTTTCAAAATTTGAAAACATTTCAAAGCTCATAGAGACGAACAAGAAGAACAGAGGAATAATAAATTTACAGAGTAATTCTAGAGAGAGAACGAGATCGCACCAGAAATAGCGACCACGAAACGAAAATGAAGAAGAATAATGAAATCAAACGGACAGCTAATGAATAGAAAGAGAAAAAGCAAAGGACTCCACCATCAAACTACGGTACTGCTAAAAAAGCAAAGAGAAAGAGGAAGGTGATGAGAAACTGAACGGCACAAGGGCTTCAATTTAAAGGCTTCAAGTGGGGCCCATTAACCACAACTTAACTCGGGTTTCAAAGTAACCACGGTTAGTTTCTATCCTTCACGGTCAAGCTTCAACAGGCGAAAAATTCCAAAATCCCAATTAACACGAAACAGAGTCTGGTGTGTGTTCACGCAACTTCACGCAAAACACTGCACTCTACACACGTATACAGAGAATGAAATCTGAACCCTATATAAAAGCCGATTTGAATTTACGTTCAGTTCCGGAAACGACGTCGGTGTTCGTGTGAACTTATAATCGGCTGTTTAAATTTGACTTAATTAGCTTGTAATTATGGTACGTGGGCTTAGTGGGTGGATTGATAGTGTGCTGATGCGTTGCATAGGAAGTTGTGAAAGCCTTCTTCTACGTCAGGTCGCCACAAAGGGGAGAATCAGAATTTGACTTCGAGGTGGGCCCAGTATTAGCTTGATGACATGATTAAATGTCAGTATGAGATTCGGGACTATGTGTCTAAGATAAATGGACGGGAGAGGTGTAGGTGTATATGAGGAAGTGGAGGCAACCGTATGTAATCGTGACTTGGCCGGATCCATGTATCCAAGTTTTCGCATCTTGCAATGGGGGGTTTGTTTGAAATAAATACTCCGTATAAGGATAAAATTAAGATTTATACAATCTTTGGGAACTGCGATGATATAATTAGACTGGCCTAAATTATTGGGCAGATATTGAATGTGTTAGGCAATGAACGGCGTATGTCATTAATATAAATACTCAATAATGACAATGATAATGCTTTATTTTAAAAGAAATTGCTTCACGTATTTTTAAAATTACCGATTACAAGATAATATATTATGTTTTATTGAGTTAGTACACTTATGACATAGTCTACTCAATATTTATTTCTAATTTTTTGACATTTGGGAGGAACACTTCAACCGTAATGCAACAAAGGTGAGAGAGAAAAAAATCCTCAATGAGAAAAGAGGCTTCATAAAAGCAGTTTCATTATATGAAGTACTGTATTAATTATATTTGAATTCTCATACATATCAATATTTTGTTCAATATTATATTTCTATAGACTTTGTAATTTATTGATTCTCTCACTTTAATTTAAACACTGTAACATAAGTAAGAACATAAAGACTAATTTTTTAAAAGAATATACATTTAATATATTAACTATTATCATCATTATTCTTGACTTCATTCCATATAAATGGGTAGGCCAATTGAATTAATGATAATTCACTTACTATATTTAATATTTTAAAATTATTTTGATAACCTCATAAATTTTGGCAGCCCGCTTGGTCTCATAAGTCATAACATCTTTTCAATTTTTAAAAATTATTTTTAATAATATTATCTCATATTATTTTTTACTGCCCTCTTCATCATCTTATAACTTCTATTATAACTAATTTATTTTCAGTCTGACCAACACATTACTAGGTCTCCTTTGTGCATGCAAAGAGGAGTGCTAGCTTGGCACTCTGTCTCTTGTGATTAGTTGAAAATCGGCTACTGTGAATGATTTATCAACCAATCACCCTTTAAAGAAACATGAATGAACTGTTTAACAAATGTTGATGACCGCACCACGATAACTGATTAAGTGGCGCCACCTCTGCAACATAGGCACAACTGGCCAGTGCTTACCTGCCGTGCCCACAATAGATTAAGTATTCTCGAGCTACCTATCCAATAACAGAACTCACTGGCCGAGGAAGGGGTCGCTACCCTTCCTCTACTGTGGACATGCCCCGCTCCAGTCGGATGGGCTCCTTCCCCTGGCTCGCTTGAGGGTGTTGGGTTTAAATAATAAATAATATGTAGAAATCAAAATTAATCATAAATTAAAGAGAGGTTTTGATATCATACCCGATTAGAAAATTAAATTTTTTGATACCTTTGATAATTCCTTATCGCCATTTGAGAGATCTGAAAATAGAGCGTTTTACCCCCTTCTGAAAGTTGTCGATACGATAGGACTGAATAAGGGTTTTAAAACCCTTATATATAACAACAACAGAGGAGGACGATTTCTCTACAAACAAGCATATCTAAGTCTCTCTTCCTATCATGGAAACTTAGATATCAATGGTTAGAATTAAATCACACTAAATAAGTTGGAAAACCACAATCCAACGGTATAAAATCATACTTCCAATTAGACCACCAAATTAGAAAGTACAACCCAATCCATCAAATATCAATAATCACATTACAATCCTATTTTAGAAAACGTAGTACATAGGACCATAAAATAATTTTTATTATTTAAATATATATATAAAAATTCCAACAATCTCCCACTTGGTCCATGCACTCTAAGTTTTATAAAATGACACTATGGATTACAACACACTTTATAAAAGTCGAGTAGCCACTCATTTTTATTTAGAAAACACAATTATCGAAATTGACGGATTGAAACTTTAGAACACTCTCCTTCATAAATTTCCTCAATAGTGGATCATGAATGCGTAGACAAGTAATATATTAGTCTAAACAATTCCATGGTCTCAAAACTGATTCCATCTAGGATTCAAGCAAATATAGTGGTTTTACTGTATTTCATAAGATGTGCAAACTGCATGGGGTCTAAACGCACACCTCACTATCCGTCCTGCTTCATACCATCGCGGTATGTCACCTGAACATATTACAGCAAACCGCCAACAATCTGTTCAGTGTGAGGGTTTACCGGTATGGAGCCAATCCCATATCTAGCCCAAGCTATCCTCATGGAGTGTGAAAAACCTCCCACAGGCAAAATTTAATATTTATGTTTGAATTTACTAATGTGGTGTCAATCTCACATCTAATCCAAACAACCTCATGAGTGAAATACCACTCTCAGACAAATCTTATATTTGAATTTACCGATATGGCATCAATCTCATATCTAGCCCAAACAACCGTATGAGTGAATTATCACTCTCAGACAACCTTTAATAATTATTTTGGATTTATCGATGTGGTGCCAATCTTACATCTAACCCAAACAACCTCATAAGTGAAATATCACTCCAGACAAATATAATAGCACGTGCATAAACCATATATATCAATATAATAATAATTATGTATCATAACTTTATTTTGGATGCAAATAACTGTCACCATAAAGCGTAAACTGGAGGAAAAATAATTGTCATCACAAGGCGTAAAGAAACTAACTGCAATGTAGCATATATAAAAGAAATACCAGACATCATAACATAATGACTCTCGAACACCTATCCGAATCACGTGCTTTATAAATACTTTATTATCTTTGGCTGAAGACCTTTAGTGAGAGGACATGTAACAATCTTTTTGTAACCATATGGGAAAATTTTAAACTTTAACATTCTCGCGCTTGAAAATGTACTTTATGTCAATCGGCTTACTACGCTTGGTCACTATTAAAATTTTCATGTACTGAATTAATGTAAGCCTTTGGAGAAAGTCCAAGTATTCCTGTACCGTGATTTCTATGGATCCTAATGCCAAAGACATACTTTGCATACTAATATCCTTCATGTCAAAAAGTTTACATAAAATTCTTGATATCATGTATCACATGATTGTCATTACTACCTTGCAAAATATCATCAACATATAAGACAAGGAAAACAAAATGACTCCCACTGAACTTGAGGTATATGTATTTATCTATAACATTCTCTTTGAACTTACAATTAAAAACCACTGAATCAAAATTTTGGATACTACTGCTGTAAAACTTACTTAAGTCATAAATGAGTGATTATGAAAGAATGACTCTTAAAGAGTTCTTTAATGAAGTTGGAGAAAATCTTAAAGAAATCAACACTTTCTTATATCCACCAGACACCTTAAAATCACCAACTACAGCATACTTTCAAGCTCTAGAAAATCTCCTAAGCTAAACTGGCTTAGGAACTAGATTAGAAACTGAAAGAAAGGTTTCCAAAAAAGAAATAACTGAAAGAGTGGGAATATGGGTTTTAACTGAAACCACTAAAGAAAGTGGAATGAAGCCTGGAATAAATAGAATAGATACTGAAAATACCTTTCTGCAAAAAGAAACTACAATATCTTAAACTCCCACTGGATTCACCACTCTCATTAAATATGCATGACATATTCCAATAATCTCCATAGATCTACTGGACAGCAAAATCTCGAATTCTTTAATCTTTCAAGATGTCTAATAAAATAATTATTGATAATGTGAGTATTAAGCTCCTTAATATCTGCATTATATAACTATGTCTCTATAAGATATCTCTGCACTTTCTATTTTCTGCAACTTTATTCTGTTTAGGAAAACTAGAAGTGGTATACTGTGGCACAATGCGCTGCTCTTTAAGTATGCACTGCTCTTTACACCCTCCTTACCATTCTCCCAATAAAACTCACCACCTTAGTCCGATCTTAAAATCATAATCTTTATACCAATTATTTTCAACTTTAGTCTAGTAGATTTTACACACATCAAGTGCTTCGGACTTCTGATGGATTAAGTACACAATCATACCTTGAGAACCCATCAATGAAGACAATGAAATATCTTTATTGCAAACGAGTTACAATAAAAAATAGACCACAAAATTCGGTATAAATATAATCTAAAAGACTAAATGACCGACTATCCTAAAAATTGTGTTTCTTAGCATTTGTCCTTTGACACAACCAACGCATAAAATTTGTGACCTAATAATCTCATCCTTGACCAAGCGTTCAAATCTCTTTTGAGAGACATTCCCCAATATCCTATGCATAACATAGATGATTCCTCTCTGACCAAAACACGATTTTATTCGGATAGTATCGAGTCAATTAAAAA